CTACATACAGTATAAACAAGTCTCAAGTTTGACTAGACTAAACTGAATCCCCAGAGTTTTCTTACGACCCAAAATAAGCTTCGTTGTAAACGCGTTTTGGTAACGCGCACGCGTAAAATTCAAACGTACGAACACGTCCGCCCTCCACCTATACAGTGTGAGGTGATACCGGCTGCCTTTCCTGGACTGCACTCTGCATCGCCGAGAAAACTACATATATCGGGAAAAACGCTTATATAATTATAAATATTATTATCGCCTGATAGTATAGTTTTGACGTCACGCGAATACTCCTGACGGCCGACGCCGCCGTTTTTCCATGGTCAACGAGTTAACGATTTTTAACCTCTGATGTACCGTATTTCAAACTGGTCATTGGGTTGAAAGCGGGGAAATGCTTGACATTTTAACCATTTAGCAATATCCAATATAAATTAGACTTCAACCTTGACTCAAATGTCGCCCCTAAACACTTAAATAAAGTAAATCAATAGTAAGTGATAGGTAAATGTATATTTAAATTTTCTAATCCTATAAATATCATAAGTTTTATAGAAATTAGAAACGTATTAAGCCTTCTGGGAGGAGAGGGCTTATGAAAACATCTTCGGTGAACCTAAGCCTCTCCCAAGCCCCCCTCTCAATTATCTACCAACACCAACCACCCACGCGTTTTATATCATTGTTTATAGTACACATTAGTTAAACAATTTTTTATTTTGATTTAACCGTAGCGGCGATTGTGCGCGTGCGTCGCACCGTCGCGTGAGGATGAGATAAAATCGTAGTCTGGCTGTTTGTCGGGTTACGTCACTGCCACATTTTTGGCTTCCAGCCCCGAGATTCCGTTTATAAACTTGAGTGCGTGTGTGCGAATGTTTATATATATTTATGTAAGCATGACAAGTCTTTCGCCCCCCCCGCTCTAGAAATTCTTGGCGCAACCGAGACCCTTTGGACGGAAATAGACGAGTCTTTAATTATAGAGAGATAGACGGGAAGTCAACCTCGGTCTGGTTTGATATTGTGAGTGTTTTGCGGCGCTGTATATGCGATTCTGTTCGAGTCGAAAACGTACCGCCCAGTCTAATGGTATCTGCTCAAAAATACAACAATACATTCAATACAATATGTATATATTATGTATAGATAATATACTCGTAGTCCGAGCACAAACCATGTTTAAAATTACTTTTCCGATGTCATGACGATCGATGACGGGTATGCAGAAAAACAGTATTATCCTACATGGGAAGTAATTATATATTAATATTATACTTAAATGTTTTTTTTTTTAATGACTACCTAATAAAACCGATACATAATTGACAATCAAATATGGTTTGTTATCTTATAACTCCACTTTGTTTTTTCTCTGTAGTGTTTAATGTTTAAATAGATACATCTCTAACGTGTACAAAATACAGTAAACTTGAATTAATGGGCGCGCTCGCATGTGTATACATATTTAGGTATATCCATAAAGGTGTATAATCCAACGTTTACGTAGTTTGTTTTCTTATATCAACGGTACAAATTATATAATATTGATTTGGCGCCGAATACACGTTTGGTCACCCTCCAAAAGTCAGTGATAATTAACAAGTGGGAATACGCTGAGTTCTTGTCTCGCAACGACACGGGCGCTCCGCGGCCGCCCCTGAAGTCTTGCAAGATCAATACAACGGCGCGAGGTCTGTGTTGGCGAATGAAAAAAGGCCGTTATCCTGGGTACACGATATGTATATATTATGATGTTGTACCATCGGGGTGGTTTTTATCGATTTCCAAATTTCGTGTCTTAGCGCGCATCAATTTAATTAATTTATCTACCAGCTTCCTCCTATGGATTATAATTATATTATATTTATACAGGTATAATGATATATTATGTGCACCACATGTACGCACATTTCACGACCGGTTGCTTGTACACATAAACACGCGGATTGAATGAAACAAAACACTACGCTATATACAGGGTCTTCTGAGTTATGGTATTTACATTAAAAGGATTCGACGACCCTGAAGGACGATACGGGTGAAGTTGCGTTCGTTTATATAAAAACAGACGACAGTAAATTATATCATTTATTCAGACGGAAATTAAATAAACTAAATAAATTATATTTTTCATATTTTAAAGTTTTAAACTTCAAACTGTAATTCGTTTCTGAAACAATGAAACGATATTATATTGTGTACGCAGGGGCGTACCGAGGAGGTTTTTATTGGGGGGCCAAAGTTAGTAGTTTGGCCAACTCTAAAAATTGATCCGGGACAACTTGTTTTTGTTATTTTGTCGTAGCCATTTCATCGTAAAAACAGTTAAAATGTTTAAATTATTTAAGTAAATTAAAAATTCAAGCTATTATACTAATAGATTATGAAAATTGTTTATAATATATAAAGATATCCATTACAATTATTCCATTAGGTAAATACCACATTTGCAATAAAATAATAAATAATGTTAAAAAAAAAAACAAAACAAAGTAAATAATAAAAAGGTGGGCAAGTGGGTGTCGCTCTGCTGTATAGTAGGTTCAAGAGGGTCACTGTATAATGGATGGTATTACATTTGAATTCAATGATATTATATCATTGTATAAGAAAAACGATTCTGAGCGGAGACGGTATGTCCTTCTATAGGTATAAGACATATTATATACTTATCTATGGTATTAAAAAAAATTGACCTATAATGAATTCCAAATTAATCATATCACAATATCCATTAGGTACTTATAACGCGTAATACACCAACAACAAACCCTGGTACTATCATAGATATATAGTAGTATACTTTAGAAGTTTCAAGTACCCACGAAAAATATTATACAGTCACAACAAAATAACTAAAATAGATATTCTAGGTTTTTTATTATGTAATTTCGTCCAAATTTGAATTTAAAATGTCTGTAAAAAATAACTGTGTTCATATATTTTTTAGATTTTTTGGTTACAGTATGAACTATTTATGAGAACCTTTGTTTTAAATTTGCAATCCTTAGCTATGAAAACTGAACATTTTATAATTTATTAACTACAATGATTGATAATTTTCGAGATTTTGATAAATGTTGTCAAAATTCGATTTTTAATGCTTATAAAAAAAAATTGTGTCTATGTATTTTTAAAATTTTTCAATTGCTATTGTAACAATCTATCAGGACCCTTGTATTAAATTTTTACACTTTTTGGCCCAACAGATAAAACTTTATTGATATTTATAGAAAAAAAAACTAAAAAATTGAAAACTGAAAATGTCTGTAAACAGCTCAAAAAAAGTCAAAATATTTTCAAAATCGCAAAGTGTATAGAAAATGCTTATATGAACATTCAGTGAAATTTTCATGTATCTACAGTAATTCGTTTTTGAATTACAACAAAATAAGGAAATCGCTACATGAGAAATCGAGTGAATATCCAATGTTGTAAAAATTTGAATTTCAAACGCTCATAAAAATTAAATTTGACTTTCTTATAGACATTTTTGTTTTGATAAAGGTAGATAATCTTATAAGGAATCTTGTATTACATTTTCAAATCTTAGATTTAAAAAGAAAAATTTTTACGAATTCTTAACTCAAAATAATTTGCTAATTTTCGTGATTTTTCCATATTTTGTCAATTTTTGAACTTAAAATGCTTATAAAAAAAAATTGTGACTAAGGATTTTTAATGTTTCTCATCTGCTTTTGAACCAATATATTAGGAGCCTTCTATTAAATTTTCAAGCTTTCGCAACCAACAAATAAAATTTTATTGATATTTTTAGAAAAAAAACTAAAAACAAATGGAAAATGAAAATGTCCCTAAACAGTTCAAAATAAATCAAAATATTTTGAAAATGTTATCGTGTATAGAAAATGCAAATATCAACAACCAGTGAAAATTTCATGTATATACGTTCATTTGTTTTAAAGTTACACCAAAAACCAAAATCGATTTTTTGGAAAACTGATTTTGCGTAAAAATTCCCGTTTTTCCTTAATTTTTATGTTGTTTTTCCCGGCGCTTGTGAAAACTACTAGGAAATTTTTACATAATATTACAAATAAACATAACGTGACGTATAATAATTATTGTAAATAATAGTGGTAGGTATCGCAACTCGCAAGCCTGCAGTACTGATACATACATTTATAACAAATTAGATGCCATAGACTGAAAACATCAAGTCAACCACGTTCAGTTGGCTATTTATAGTATCTGGTATCATTAACATTGGGATTTTCAAACTCCCTCATCATTGCACCTATTCCTCTTATTATTACTGACGCACTGATAACAATTTAGTATTTACTGCTTATTTTTCCGATAATAGACAATAGATAATTTTCTAGGTCAGACAGTATAATAATATTAGTATATTCACTATATTATTCTAATAACCTTGATTCTAGTCAATATCACCATCACAAATCACAATCGTCAATCGTATACAAATTATAAGTTGGCCATTATGTACAGTTATTGAGTTTTTCATAAATGTAAAATGGCCAACTCAAAAGTTAAGAAACCAATTATTGGGGGGGTATTATGACCACCCTACCCCCCCCACTAGGTTCGCCCCTGTGTGTACGAATCTCGATGTGACACCCCTGAAAATTAGGTAAAATTGGTATTATGGAGTATCGACTCGTTTATTCAATACATGTCGATGCACTAAAATTGCATACTCAATGCGCCTTGTTATAAAATCAGTTTGTTTAAAATTAACAGCAGTAAGTTATTTAGTTATCACTCATCTTACATAAAATATTTGATTTCAAACTGAGATGTTTCGATGAAACGTTGAGTGGCAAATTAAAGTATATACAAATACAGTTGGTAATAAATATATTGTCAATATGTCTTAGAACGATGGCAGGGACGATATACTGGGGGGGAGTGACGTCACTGTTATTTATTAATTATTATATTATATTTCGTATGAAAAATAAAAACGCGGGCTTCGTAGGTCGTATTTCATATTATATTGATCGACTGAACGTATGGAGGAGGCCTTTTGGTTGGAGGTCAAGCTCCCGGACGTTGCATATGCATTACGAGTTCATTGGTCTCGAACTCTCTAGCGTATGTGTGTGTGTACGTTTTGCGCGAAGCTCCGAAATGCGTAAATAATCTTAATATGTATACGTCATACGACCTTCGCGGGACGACCGCGAGAATAATATAATATATAATAGTTTCTATTGTTTAACATATTTATACAGTTACACGCACACATATATTAGACGCTCACCGTAATATTTTTCATTGCGTTATTGTCATTTTACACACGGAAACGAGTTATAATAATAATAACTCGTACCTAATAGGTATTTGTATATTGTAAATTATCTCCGGGTGGTTGATGATTTTCACTCTCCTCTAGCCCATTGATAATAATTTAATTAATTAACCGACATCGCCTCGCACATAATTTATGTATAATAGCTGTATTTTAGGGAACGTCTCGATATCCTAATGTTTTTTTACTCGAGTAGCCTTTATTAACGTATTTAATTCTATAAACACATATTAAAAACTCGTTTTAGTGTCTGGCATAGGTTTATAACTTATAAGTTATAACATATTATAATGACTATGTCACAAGCGCGCGCACCTATACTACGGCTAGTTTTAAAAATACATATTCCCATTAAAAAAAGCCTCCGCTAGTTTGCTGTATATTATATTATAGTTAAAAGGTATGTACATGCACATATATGCATATATGCATATATCATGTCTTGATAAGATAATATATTCGACTATTCGAGTTCACCAAAATATGCTGCATTCAATTTGAAAATTATTTATCGTATTGTAACTATTTATAACTAATAATTAAATATTAACATTACGATTACTTATACTCTAACAAAATTATTATTATATACACTGATGACATAATTTTTAACCTCCATCATTAATTATTTTCTTTTAATTTCGTATAATTTGTTTTTTTTTTCAGCGACACAAGCCAAAACACAAATTTACTAGATGCAATATCCGAAGTTACTACAATGGCGGACCCCTACGATGCATTTTCAAAACTGAAGGTATATACTATATATACAATATTGAATATATTATATACTATTATACTGCATACTGCATAGGTAACACAACACGCGCTTATACAGTACGTTATTAATTGGAAAGTAAGTACTTCTAAATAGCTCTATAATTCAAAATATAATTGCTGATATGATAGTGCAGTTTTTTTAATGTAATATAATATAACTAATATGCTTTTTTACCATGTTCTAAAAAAAAAATTTCATAAAAACCTATTAAAACCCTTTTTTTGGTTTTTAAAAATTCGAAAATAGCAATTTTGTAGAGTTATTTATAATAATTTATAAAATAATGAACTGCTATGTGCAAGTCAATTTTACAGGCTTAATAAAAAATGAAATTTTATAATTTAAAATGTTGTAATGAAATTAAAGTGTGAGTATATCTCACACATATTTTAATTATAGCTCTAATTCCGTTACATAATATACAAAGATCATGGGTTTATAGATATTTTGAACAATATTATAAAACAAATTTCACCATACAATTTCGACGAGTAAAGTGTTCTTTATTATCTATTGGATTTTCATTAGTTATCAAAGCGTGGAAACCATAACATTTTACAATATTATGCTGGTTTTTTTGAAAATAGAAGTTGTTTTTATTCATTAAAAATTCAATCGATTTCAAAATTGCCCTTTTCTCAATATTATAAATAAATAACTACAATAAAATGGCAATTTTTTAATTTTTAAAAAATCAAAAAAAGACTGTTTTTTAAAAATTTTTTTTTAAACCAAGGTGAAAAGGAAGCTATTAGTAACATATTACATTTAAAAAAAAAATCACTTCAATATCTGTATTATATTTCGAATTACAGATTATTGACTTTCCAATTAAATAACATATACCTACTGTATAATATAAGTAAATAACAGTAAATAAGTATTTAATGCTATAAATTATAATTAAACGAAATCTTTTATATACATAATTGATATATATAGAAACGAATAAACGATTGTGGTTATGTAAAACAAAATTAACTCTGTTTTTTTACATTCTTAAATTTGTTAACACATTTTTTAGGGATACCAATTTGGTACGAATAATGTAGTCAGTATCAATAAAGAAATGGTCAAGAACGACTTTGTGAATGCGTCTGCATTGATTAATAAAGCAAAAAAGAAGGCCAGAGAAACTGATTTGTACTTAAAAAATCTACATGAAAAAGTATTGCCAAGGTGTCAATCTGCAGATATCACAAGTGACATAGTTAAAAGGTTGTTTTTAATTGTATGCAAGTATAATGTATTTCCAGTGGCGTAGCCAGGAATTTTTTATGGGGGGGGGGGCTAAGTATACAAATACAATGTGTTTTTTATTTACGCTTTTAATTTTTTTATTAATCTTGATAAAATTCTAAGGTCAACAATTCTAAGGGCTATAGCCCCCTTAGCCACCCCCCTGGCTACGCCACTGTGTATTTCTATAATGTATATTCTATGGGCTATGGCATATGCTCCGATGCTCGTTAAGGTGCGTTTAAAAGCCGCGAACGCGAATTTGTAGGTATACATAATTCATCAAACACAAGACAGTGTGAACAAACGGCCTTTGTACCATTCGTTCGGGTTAAGAGAGGTTCGAGCCGGTGACGGTAAGAATAAATGGAATTAGGGATTGGTCAGAATTCAATTTTCACGAACCCGGACTTTTTGGAATTCTGAACATTTAAAGTTAAAATTAGTTTATTCATTAATCCACTTTAATTTTAAACAGAACCCTTATGAATATCCTGTTTCAACTGATACACGCATATACGGCAAATATGATAAATAAAAATAGTATTCTATTTTATTTTATAAAATATAAATTATCTTTATGCATAATAACGATATTAAACTTTTTAATCTTTCCTGAACAGTTTGAAGTTTGGGATGTTCAATAAGTTTGAAAACCTATCCCTAAATAAAATGCTATTCAGTGTGAATGAGAATGACATTCGTCCCGTACTCCTGTCACAACGATTCGCTTACGTTCGCGTCCCCAGCGAGGGCTATAATATTATAGCAAACAGAAAAAAATCCTGTTTATACTATTAGCATTCATTCATTACAAAAATTATAATTTTAATTACATTTATGAATAAACAGTGTCATAGTGATATCATTTTTGATTTTACCAACTATAATAATTATAATTTGTACAATTATTACAGATTTTATTTATTAAGAATTGTAAATTTCAATTCATTATAATCAATGAATTCTTATTTATATCTAGAGATATATATGCAGATATTCCATCAAAAACCGTACCGCGGCTTAAACCTGATCTTAAGGAAAATTTAGTAAGATTGAAAATTAAACTAAACTACTTTTAATCATATTTAATATGAATTTAATTTATTTTGATATACATTTTAGGGTAAAAATATCCATGCCAATAATGAAAATTCAAATATAATTTCGAAACCTAGGTCTTCAACTCAAGAAAAACGTGTTCATTTTAACAACCGTTCGGGATATTTAGGTAGAACGAACAATCCTCATCAATTGAACGACTCTTCTAAATCAATTGAACGGTTATCAAAAAATGACCGGCAAAATGTTAGTATAACGAATGTGAATTTTGAGGCTAATATTTCAGATGGAAAATATAATAATGATTGTAAAGTAAACAAATTAACGGTGAGGCGAATTCCTAGAATTGATTTAAAAGCTGATCTAGTCACTCAAAAATTAACTAACATTCAAATAAAACCAGATAATAAAAAGCTCTCACGGTAATAGAATATTAATAGCTATTCTTAATTTAAATCAAAATATTTTAGTGATCCTAATTTTTTAAATATTATGTTTAGTAACTATAAACCTAATGTAGCTTACCAAGAGTTCGCTTTTGGATTAGATCCGGAAACATGCAAATGCCATTCAGTAGTTCAGCCAAAAACATCCAATGATAAAATAGTTGCTCGTCATGAAATACATAAAATTATATGTGGAATGTTAGATAACACGTCGTCAAACTATTGTCTAAGCGATCGATTAATTAGTCAATTACAAAAAATAATAAGCAAGTTGGAAAAAACAAAATCCTTGGATTATAACGATTCAAGTGAAGTAGAAGATCTTATTGAAGAACACAGTATGGTTGGTTTTAGTGAAGAAGTAATAAAAAAAAGACTATTGGAAATAGCCGACAATATAGTAGAGAACGACATTGATGGTATTTAAATAAAGATATTAAATTAAAAATGAGTTAATTAGATAAGTATATTTTTTTGTAATTTTAAATAAAAATTAATTTTTTAGGAATTTCATTTGAACAAATGTCTGTAGAAATAGAAAACAATTCTCATCAAGTATTAAATCGACTAACTAAGATTAAAAACTCTATTGTGGCATTAAATCCATTAGTAGAATTTCCAAATTTACCAACAGACAATAAACTTGATGATGCAGTAAAATGTGTTGATGAAAATCTTACAAATTATCATCCTAGCAATATTATATCCTCAAAAAGTAAAATATTGATATAACAATGTTTATAACTGAGATTAAAATATTATATATTTTTTTCTTTTTTTTTTTACAGATCAACATGAAATACCATCAACCGGATGTGTCAGTGTAAAAGACTTTTTGCGTCATGGTTGTAACTTCACAAGTTTGGAAATGTAAAAATCTTTGTTATTATGGAAAACAAAATAATCTTGTTAAAATACTACTTTTATGTACTTAGGTTCTATGATATTATGCATTATATTTTTATTTTAGGTTTAAAAATGCATCAGTTATAAAGGAATGTGGTTCTCAAATTACATTATGCTCTAACGACAACATAAATCAAAATAAAAATATATTTAAGACTCAAAATGCTTTGAACAATCAGAACAATATATCTCAACTGAAAGTAAAAATGTGTACCAATGTGTGTTTGTAATATTCAACTATTTTAATAATTTAATAATATAGTCTTAAATAGTCTTAATTGTCATAATTTAGTAAATAGTAGCAACTAACTACCAGGGCCGGCACTAATGATTTTGTAGACACTGGCAAGATTCAATTTTGCTGCTCTTATAATTTGAGCAGGCTTCTTCCAAAAAAGTTTTTTTTTCTACAGATGCATAAAACTATAAAAGTAAAAGAGGCACATTCTTAAATCTTATTATATGTATTGGCACTTCCTTTAAAATCATAATTCATTACTCAAACTGAGAACGCTTGTTAATATATTTTTTCAATTAATTATTTACTATAGTCTATAGTTAACATATTTTATGAGTATTGTAATTTGTATTATATTTCTTATAATAATATCACTTTTGCTATAATAACATTTATATTAAAATACTTATAACTGAATACTAAATACTAAATGTATCAATAGAATTTAAACTACCTAACTTAAGCTTTACTTTAAAAGTGTACTTACCTTACTTTTAAAGCAGGGGCCTTCAATTTGTGGCTCACCTTGTCACTATTATAGCTTAGAGGTCTGAGGTCCGCAAATACATGTTAAGCATAGCAAGTGTTTTTTATTACTCCGTACATGTTTAAATGTTTTTATTGAGAATGTGACCACAGAGATTTTTTAAAAATAACATGTGGCCTGCTACTTTAAAAGGTTTAAGATCCCTGTTTTAAAGAATAAATACTAGATTCAGATCAAATCATGATAAAATAATAGATCATAATTGGGTTTTTATAGTTTGAATTTAGAAAATGTTTTCTCTGTTGCTGTCATAGAACAATATATGGTTGCCGTTACTATTTACTGGTATGAAGTCTGGTAATACAATAAATTATCAATGCTACATAAATATTAAGAAATATTTCTGTTAACTTATTATAAAATTATCTGTAAGTCAGTTTCTTCTTTATTTAAACGTTATTATTTCTTCAAGTTCAATAGAATTTATGTCAAAATTGAATTCAACATTTGACTTTGCTTTTATAATATTTCATTACATTTTCATAGTTATTAGTATTTAATATTTCAAATACTTTAAAAATTCTTTTTATATATTTTCTGTTTTAATTTTGATCACATGAAATAAAAACAAAAATTGAAAATATATATAATAGTATATTTGATTATTGATAATCAAATACTTTGACATAGAAAACAGTAGAGCTTAAAGTTACGCCAAATGATGCAGTTTAAAATATATGCTGTATAAAATTAATGTAAAACATGAAAATCGGTTAGTTGATATTATATAAGGAAAAAAAATATTTTTAAAAATTTGAAAGTATTTAATTTGGTAACAATAAATATTATTATTATTATTATTATTTGAAAGTACCAATCTATAAATACTTTTTCAAAGTATTTTTATTTGTACTTAAATATACAATATTTCAATTTCAAATACTTTTAAAAAGTATCTTTTACAAGACTAGATCTACCTATATAAAATGCATGGGATGATCATGACATTTAAATGGAAATTTTTTTTTTTACGTCAAACTCAAACTTGTTACCCACCACCTACAATATGGTTTATAATTATTTATTTTTCTAACCTTTTAGTTTATATTATATGTTAGAGGAACACCAAAAAAAACTGTTCATAAATCAGTATCAACATTTTAGTGTGACTACTCCCCTAAATATTTCTAATGCATAGATAAGCTTTAGGCTTGTCTATATTGTTTATTGAACTTTATTCTCTTAAACATTTTTTAAAAAAGTTCAATTAACAATTTATTAAATGAAATTACAAGTAGGTATTACTATAATACTATGCTTGGAGCTTTTATAACATTTCATAGTTTATACCCTTAAGAGGGTGTCAGATGCACTTCTAACACAAAAACATGTTTTACTGGAAAAACTCCCACGCCCTGTAAAATAGTTATTTTCATCCATTTTTTTATTTAAAAGAAGACAACATTTTTTCAGGTAGGATCAACGAGTACAAAACTCCAAAACAACTATATATAATATAGCTTATCAAATTAGGATTTTCCTCTTGTAGAAATAGTTTCAGAAATATCCAAAGATATTGTCATTAAACATTTCTAGATACCTACCTACATTTATTTCATATAATAAATCATTCCATGTTATTCGAGAATTAGAGGATTGTTATTATTAATAATAAAAACTTGAAAAAATAGCATTATTGCAAAGCAACTATTAATTAAAAATTAAAATGGATATATTTATATTTTCTTGTACCTATGTACAATGTTTTAAATACATTTTAAAATATTATAAATTTAATTTGAATTTTTGTAGTATAATATATTTTTCATAATCAATTTATAAAATACCGCTTCTATAAAAAGAGTTGTTAATGCTGTTGTAGACTTGTAGCCTAGTACCTATAACCTATATCACCTATTCCCTAAATCGGCCCTGCTGGCTATTGACTACTGATATCCTGCTCAGAAAGAAACATACCACAAACAAGAATAGGACTCTCAATAATAATAAAACAATATTATACACATATTAAAAGTACCTTAGTATTAATATCTTTAATCATATGGTTTAAAAATTATAAATTAGATAATTTAAAAAGAATAAAAGATTAATCATAGTTATTTATTTTTATTTTCAATTAGTTTTAAATTAGTGTAACTATTTTTTTTAGAAGAATCAACTAAAATTTCAAGATCAGAGTACATTATTTGAAGATCCTGTATCATCTCGACCTCAATCAAGCCATTCAAGTATAATATTAAAACATCAACTGAAGCCATCTGATGATGAAAATCAAAATAATGATGTATGTATACAATTTTACATTATTTTTCTAATCTAATAATTTACCAGGGTAATAATGAGTAATAGTTTATTATATGTATTAAAATCTTGAAATTTAAAATAGAAAAATGATGGTTATATGACTACGACAAATGGATATGATTGGGAAGCTGAGAATAGTTTGAAGATAAATACAGTTTGTAAAACCAATAATGACACAATATTAACTAGTAAGTTTTTAGAATTTTAATTGTATTATTAAAACAAAAACAATTCTATAATAGTTTATTCAGAAAGCGATCAATTAACTCAATTTGAGAAGGATAAAAACACAAATATGTTGAAGATAAATACAAATATTGAACATTTACCTATAAACGATACCAGTAAGGATTATGGTAATCTTCAATCAAACATACAAGAGTGGCAATTAAGTTCTTTATCATCATTGACATCCAATAACTATCAACAAACAGATGAAGTACAAATTCTAGACAAAAAAACAGAAAGTTCTGCTTCAACTACTTCTTCAATGGTAATAATAAATGATTATTACCTAGTTACCTATGTTGAAACTTAATTCAATTTTATTATAAGACTAGAAAGAAATCAAAATAATATCAGTTTAGTATTTTGTACTACTTTACTTCTAAATGAAAGTTCTAACTGTGTTTTTAATTAGACCAGAACAAAATGATAAATAACTGAGAAATTCATCCATTTAACAAAATTAAAAAGAGTTCTGAAGAAGTTTGATTTTTTTTTTGCATATGGCGCTATGTCCAGAAGTTCGATGAATTTATTACATGGATTTAAAAAGAAATTTTACATTTTCTATTAAGTACTAAATAAAAATTATATTTTCATAAATATTAATTTATTTTTATATCTTAGACTCAGAGCGATGAATGTATTGATTTTACAATGATGTTTGTTTTTTTTATTTTTTGTGTCTGTGTACACGATAAGTAGTTTAAATAATGCTTCAATTTTCAACTTCAGTATCTTGTTCAATTAGGGACGTAAAAATTCCCAGTCGTTACTAAAGTACCGGAAATATTTAAAATATTTAGGAAAACCAGACATTTTTAAGCAAAATTGGTTTTAGGTGTAACTCTAAAACCAATGACCCTAAACATATCAAATTTCCATGTTTATTTGATCTATTCTCATACTCAATACAATTTTCAAAATATTTTGATTCGCTTGCAGTGGCGCAGCTTCATAATAAGGGGCCCATGTGAACATTTCTATACCGGGGCCCTTATCTGCTATCAAGAATGAAATACAGTCATAGGTACCTTATTGTAACTCAAAAAAATAATGTTTTCTCACTTGTAATAGTTAATAATTACTAGTTATAATACCTACAATATACCTAAGTTTACACAGGTTTTCTCGCATGGGTGGTACTCGTAATTTGAATTCTCCAAACTTAAAAGAGTAAAAATATTATTATTTAGTGTGATTATATTAAAACAAATAATATAATAAGACATATTATATTATAGTAGCTGTCCCGCTCGACGTTATCCAGGCCAAAGATTTGTATTTTTAATAAAAAATACAAATATTATATTTGTACAAAATGTATATACCATATTTCATCTAATTATAATAATATTAATATAATATGTAACAAATTGCAGCCATTTAGATTGACAAAAACAATATTTTTTTTTTCGTATGCTAAAAAAAATCATGTGTGAGCTACCCTTTACCTATCTACAGCCTATATGACTTGAAAAATTAAGTTATATCCACCCTCCAAGTTTCAAGTAATAATCACATAAATACATATTAATTTTTACTATAATTATTTCTCCTATAACAAATAGCAACCATTCATAAACAAACATGTCTATCATAAATCTCAAAATACCTGTTCGAGCACCTCTCCGAGTTGAACTAAGTAACTAACGGGGTATAATTGTGAATCTAAACCATTCAAGGACTCACTCAAAAACACACAAGACATGTCCAGTGGTTTAGGAGGAGATCAATGACATACAAACATTTATTTTAATATATATAGACATAGATTGTTATTACTTTCGGCCACCCAATTAATTTTACTATAATATTTATATAATATATAGATTATATTATATTATTTTGTATATTACACATTATAGTAGGAATATCGTATATGAGATCTGGGGCTCCTGTGAATTGCACACCCAACACTCCCGATAATTGTGCCACTGTTCGCTTGAGTTGTTAAGTGACATTTTCAATTTTCAATTTTAGATTCTGAGCGCCGAGTGGAATACATCTTTTTCATAATAATTGCCAATTGAGTTTTATTTGTTGGGTCAAAAAGCTTGAAAATTTAATACAAGGCTCCTGCTATATTGTTACAGTAGAAATTGAAAAATATTAAAAATACAGTCACAATTTTTTTTTTTACAAGCATTTAAAATAGTTGAAACTTTAAAAATGATTTTGTAGTAAAAAATGTAAAGAATTTTCAAATTTTATTCACAATAATATCATAAAAAAAAAAAATACTTAGTAACATCATAGGCTGACTGCCGTTTTCGCTCAGAAACGTTTTTCTTGTACAATGATATTATATCAATGAATTCAAATTAAACACAATCCACTACAGTGGTCAGTGATCCACTTGTAACATACCGTACAGCAGAGCGACACCCAGTGGCACCAATCTACATTTCATGTTATGGAGAAAAAATTCTGGTGTTAAACCCACTCAGTTAAAAAATTTTTTAACTTCTCTTGAATAGTGCATTATAATCGCAATATACTGCCTGGTGACCTACCATACTCATACTATTATAGAATATTCTTTACACTTACCATTATTTTTAAATTATGATGATGTTTAAATATTAAATACTACTAATGGCTGATCACTTATTATCACCCACCCGCCCAACCATAAATAGTTCTGGGGAATTTTCCACAGTTAATACCCGTGTTCGGCGCCACTAGAGACACCCAATTGCCAACCTTTTTAACTTTAATCTTATATTTTGGTTTTTATAACTTCAAAGTTCTAAGTACATTTTACTGACTAAAGAAATTAATAGTTATAAAATTCATTCAGTAGATTTTGGTATATCTGTAGTATTGTCATAACTCATAAGTAATATGTAAAGTACATTAAGTATGCTTACTATCCTAAAGTCCCCCCTAAGCAGGATTTAAAATTATATCGAATAGATAAAGGTATACAGTATACTGTAGCTTTTAATATTTATACTATTTTGAGTGTTCCACATAATTTAAATAATTTTTATTACTTAAAAATTAAAATTAAAAAATAACTTAAAAATGTTATTACATTGTAAAAAATGGTTTTGGGAGCAAGGTCCTAATACTAATTAGACCAAATTATTAATTTAATTTAAATAAAAAATTTTTCATTTTTGAGATAATTTTTTTTTAATCCATTCATATTCTAGCACTCACTCCTCTAGAATATAAATTATGTAATGATTAAATACAAAAATGTTTAATTTTAATTAATTAAATATGTTTCTAAAATAAAACATCAATATAATAGAAATTAGAGATGATAATTATATTTTCTTTAGGACTTTTATTAAAGTATTTAAGAGAATGTCACACCCGCATGTGTTGTCTTAGTCTTACAAATATACAACATAGTAAAACTGTTTTGCGAGGGACAAGTGGACAACTATTATCTTTCTGTGTTTGTAGTAGTGGCTCTAAAATTTCTGAACATATAGGGTGGAAAATTATCCAAGCAACAGCATGCCCATATTTTAGTTACCTAACATAAATACAATAAAAGTTATTTGCTTCTAAACATTTGGCATTTTCTAAAAAATGATAGGATAGTGCTATTAAAAAAAGCACGCTTTGTACATTTGTAAGACTGAGACAACACATGCAGGTGTGACATCCTCTTAAGTATTATACCTATTGTAGTTGTGTTAGTGCCTACACGACTATACATAAAATACAAAATATATATTATAATAATGGTATTACATTATATACTAAGTAAGCATATAAAATAGTGAGATGATAAAATAAATTGAACTAAGTTCTTTGTATAGTATATATTTAACACCAGACTAACTCATTAAGTGAACTTTAATATAATATATTAATATGTAAATAATTATGATGTTGATGTAATTCATAATTTGTGAACTATTAAATACTAATATTTTATTATTATTTGCTGTTGACATAGATTTCATTGAAAGAGTCTACTCAAGAAGTTGAAAGTGAAGCTGAAAGTTTAACTAGTCTTGGAGAAGTTAACTATTTTTCTAAATGATTCACAATGTACTCGTCTGCTAGAGAAGTTAAACATAAATAAATAGTTTAATTTTATTTAAATGTTCAAAGAAATATTATGATTTACTTATAAAAAAATAATGAAAATAAAAGTTACTTCCTTGTTTCTAATAATTTGAGAAGTTATATAATAAGACATAATAAGTGTATAAATATATCTATAAAAATGTCATAATTTTTGCCAATAATTTAATCAAGATGTGGGGTACTTTCATTTTAATATACAAAATTTATGAATAATAATTGATGTTTTATTCTTAAATTAGTTTTCTTATGATGTATACAAGTGTTTACTGAGATCTTTGATTGGTATTTTAGTTTTTTAAAAGACTATTGCTGGATTGCATAAGAAATTAATTAATAGTTCACTAAAATTTAATGGACCAATCATGGGCCAATAAACTATGTTTAACTGTTTGAGGGTCCATTAGTCATTGGAATTACAAAATTAAAAATAATAATTATACATATAAGTTTTAAGTTATGAGTTACAAATTTATAATTCTTAAAAACTAATGTAAGATTTAAAAAGGGACTGATATCCATAAGCATAGTCAATTTATGTATCAAAGTCACATACTTGACTGTGTAAAGTGACTGAATTTAATCATAAAAGAGACCTATATGTAAGTATGTTTCCTAACAACTTACTGTTATTATTATTTTTCTTTAAAACTCAAAATATATTTAATTGATTCTTACTTAGTTATTTACATAAAAATTTCAAAAAATAATGATTATAATAAATAAATAAATACAAATATTTGTTAAAAATTTAAAATGGACTTTTGTTTCGAATGTGGAAAGTGGTTTATGGAAGTGTTTTCGAAAGTGGTTTATGGAACATAAGACAAGTCTATCGGAACAAATATTTGTGGAAAAAAATGTTTATTTAACAAAATTAAATTAAAAAGTCTTTATTTATGAACATCTAACGATTACCGAACAAATGACAAAAAAAAAATAATAAATTGTAAATTAGGCAAATTTATATACAAACATCATGTGAAAGGTGAAACCATAATTTATTTAAGATTTTAAAACTGAAACTATAAATTGTCATTTTAAAATCAGAAATAATTTATAAAGGCATAGAACGTTATTTAAAATTTGCATAAAGCTATAATTATGAAAACATTGAAATACATCCAAACTCTGAATGTTTGACGTTAAAAGAATTTCTGGTAAATTGATTTGTAATCTTGTATTATTGTCAATAGTTATTGGTTAGACAAAATATTTATCGTTATTCTTAGTTCTTACATTATATTATTTTCATAATAAATAATTCTATGTTTACAAGTATTTGTAATTTTGTAACTATTGAACGTAAAATACAACGGTCAACAGTAGGCAGGTATATAATATAGTTAATATTATTTTGAATTGTAATATTATTTATATTATTTATATTATTTTATTTTAATATTATACATTTATACTCCATATATTATACACCATAAAAGCTAAACAATGAATACAAATGGTGGTCGCATTTGGGGGAGGGGGGCACAACCCGGGCCAAATTTTTTTTGCACCCGGGCATAAAATGTCTAAATGCTTCACTGTGAGTGATTTCTATTATATCTTAATAAATATTATGGTGATTTCCATACTGGTGTCATGGTGTCGGTTGTGTGGTTGGTGGTCAGAGGGTACTGTGCGATGACGGGTAAACGGACGTTTCGCCCCCGGCAATTATTGAGATAGGACCTTTCGTTCCGGAGAGTTATTAGCCATAGGACGTTTGGTCCCCGGCATACTTTGATAATCTAAATTCTAAATACATTAATTTTTAATGAACAATTTAATCTTTAAATGACAATCAGGCCCAGATTAAGATCTATAGTGCCCATAGGCTGTAACAAATTTGGTGCCCCCAATTAAAAAAAAATATTGTACACATTTCTCTACTCGATACTTGAATAAATAATAAAACTTTATTTTAGGTTTATTAGCCTTATCAATATGTATATGTATATAATACCTATGTGAAAACAAGTAAAAACATAAAATTATTATTATATATTATTTTATACTTTTCTTTTTCTTGCTTTTTGATGGGCAAATGTGTTAATAGTATCATTAAAATTTAATTTTTCAACCAATTCTGCTTCAATGCTAAATATTGCTAATGCATTCAGTCTTTCCTCCTTCATGGTTGACCTCAAGTAGGATTTTACTCTTTTAAGTAGGTACAGAAAAAGCTCTTTCGCCTGAGCAGTTTGAAACTGCTGTACTAAGGTAGGTACATACGCATAACTATTTTTAAATTTGGAAACATACACTCTAATTCTTTGGTCTTGATGTACTTATACATAGAGAGAACAGATTTTATATTTTTATCCGTGGAAATTAATTTTGAAAAAAGAATACACTCATCTATAAGTAAGCTTGAGTTTTCAACATCATCAATAAAATATTTTGCCAAAGTTTCACATGTGTTCCTTATAACAATAGAACTCGGTGTTTTATACAATGTGGGTATACACCCATAAATATCTGATATTTTTTCATAAGCTTGTCTTCTTGAACTAAATTGACATTTAAGATTATCAATGATCACATAATATACATTTCTAATAAAATCTATTTTCCCTGTGATTTCTGTGAGAGGTTGAGATCTTGATTCATCAGCCATAGCCTAAAAAAAAAATAGTTTTTAATGTTGTTAATGTTTATGACTTTTTTCAAATTATTTTATGTGTATTTTAAAATTAATAAGTTAAACATACCTTTCTCTTTTTTTTCTCTTGGAATCTTTGGCATACTCCGAACAACCAGTAATTTCTACAGCCTTATTTTCAAAAACATCAAAATCATCTCTGATCTGTACCAACAAATTGTCAAGGCCATTATATAGTTCGTACACATACGACACATACTCATACATGCTCATACATACGTTATCGGTGTGCGACCGGTTCTACGGAAAAATAACAATCTAAAAATAAAACGAGGTTTAGAAGACCGCACGACAAAACGCATTGATTATTACTATTTCAAATTTCCGATATTATTTAAATAAAAATAACATCAGGATTCAGGATAGTATTGTGCTTATTGTCATTATATTAAAATCCCGTACAATATTATGATTGCAATTTCTTTTCCTTAAAACTAACTATTTTCGGGACATTTATTATTTCATTTTGTTTTAGTAGGTACCAACTACCAATGCAGTCGCTGCAGACGCATTGCACATCTAGTACTGAATACCTACTCTCTGTCTCTCTGTATCAAATACTCTTAAAATAAAGTAGTTAAATAAATATATAATATTATATTGTTATAATGTTAAAGTAAAACCACGACTGCATGGTATTTTTATTTAACAAAAATAATTATAAGTAGGAACAAATTAAGAATTAAAAGAATAAAAAAAAGTATTCAAAAAATACCTAGTATTCAATATGGAAAAAAGTATTTGAATACTTTTACTCAAATTCTTTACAACACTGTATATTAATATTAGACATTACAGAATTGTTCATTAAAAATGAAAGTAGTAAATGTTAGTAAAATAATGAACTTTGAAGTAATTAATAACTTGAGAACCGAATGTCCTATACCTAATGAAAATATACCGGAGACCAAACGTCCTATGGATAATAACTCTCCGGGACGAAATGTCCTATCTCAATTATTGCCGGGGACGAAACGTCCGTGTACTGGTTTTTTTGACGGGGACGAAACGGTAGGGGCGAAACGTCCGTGATTCGCGAATTCGCGATGACGAACATAATTTTGAACGACCCGAAGATTAGCGGGAACATATTTGAGGTTAAGAACGAAATGTGTGCGTTTACTTGATTATTTGTAAAGTTTAATCGCCAAGTGAAAATAACCACGACTACGAGTGCATAACAAAACTTTGAGCTTTGCGTTAAGCTAGGTAATCGATCAAAATATCAAATAATCAAATCCAAATGTAATTGAATAATGAATAGTTTTCCAATAAATCGCATAACCTCAAATATCGTGGAAAACGAAAAAACAAACGGTTGGTCCCCCTCTTTGTCACCACTCCATTATCGTGTGCCGCCACAAGCGTCATCCCCGCGATCTTTACACGACGCCCCATCATAGCGTACCACAACCACACTACCACTTGTCTTTTCCCTCCCGCTCGTGTTTCACCGGTTCCCGCGATTTATTTGTTGATATTGTTGACATTTCCCGATCGGCGAACGAACCGACACAATTACACAAACGCGTTAACGACGACGACCTACCGAATGCAGAACTCTCGTGTTTTAGTCTCTCATTTTGTTATTGGCTTCTCAAACGGCTTCTGCTATACGAATCCGGCTTGTGCGTTTAGCGTTATCGTGACAACGTCTCCGTCAGTCGTCCCACCGAAAACCGCATCCATGTAATCCGATTGACTGGTGGCGTGTTTCCCGGGCAACTGTGGCGTTTGAAGACATTTGCACAACGATCTTTGGACGCGTCCGTCCTGCTCATCACACGTGAATCTCGCGTTTCCTGCCGGATAACGCTGCTGGCACATCCTGTATTACAAACGAGTACGTATGCATCCACATGATAGCTGTAGACTTGCGGTTATAAGTGGTTTTATATTATTATAATGTGTATGAGCATATTATGCATTATAATTGAACAATTGTATTCATAATTCACCCACGGATGAGTTTTGTGTGACACGATTTGTGTCATTGAAGACGCATTTTGTGTGTAGTTAGCCGAATCGTCTTTACATTATTCTCTGATGACTGAAATTTAGTAAAAAATATTCAAACCGTAACAATTCCCTATAGGCCTGTGGAGAGAAGTTATCCATTTCCTTTTCATTCAAACTGCGTTATAGGATCTGATCATACTACCTACTTCAACTCAATATTTGGTTGACATATGTTTACCTTAACGTGGAATGGTGATATGGTATTAGAGTATACCTATTGTGTGATTGTTCGTTATTTTTATTCATACCTCTAAATTATGAACTGATTTATTTTGCATGTTCAACTACTGTGCGGTTACAGGAATTTTACAACACGTTAAAATTTACGTGCCAATATTTTATCTTACGAAACAGGTTTATGTGAAAACCTCTTTTCAATAATAAACGCAAGTTCTACATAAAAATGTAACATGCTAATTAGTATCGATTATATTTATAATATTTACTTGCATACTTTCAAATTTGACACTCAACAATTTATGTAAATACAAATAATATGGCAATTTATATGAAAATAATATTAGTGGGTTACCTACCTAGTTAAGCACTATAAGCATGATAAACTGCGTTTATCGTGGGTTTTCATGTGTAGGTATCACATGAATTCCTTAACCTGCTGATAGTCTCTCTATGATCAAAACACCCTAACTTAGTTAATATGTTCTATTACACAAATATTACACAACAATTAAATTATACAGCGTGATTCTTTTATCAAACAACACTCATTATTTCAAAAAGTGTAAATTTTTTTGAAGATATTTTTTACATAGTTTCAAGTTGCTTATAAAACAACGTTTTTATTAAAAAATTATATTTTTAATTATTTTTTATCCTTATAATTTTTTAAGTTTTTTACTTTTTTGAATGACAACATGGGGTTTTAATTTTATATTCCAAATTAGAATATTTTTCTTAGTATTTTGATACATGAAAATCGAATTTGGGTTGAGTAGTTTATGAGTTATAAGTATTTAAAGTTTAGACGAGCGGTGAAGTGGACAAACATTTCGCGGGGTAACCCCGAACCACTCCACTCCGCTCGTCTAAACTTTAAATACTTATAACTCATAAACTACTCAACCCAAATTCGATTTTCATGTATCAAAATACTAAGAAAAATATTCTACTTTGGAATATAAAATTAAAACCCTATGTTGTCATTCAAAAAAGTAAAAAACTTAAAAAATTATAAGGATAAAAAATAATTAAAAATATAATTTTTTAATAAAAACGTTGTTTTATAAGCAACTTGAAACTATGTAAAAAAATATCTTCAAAAAAATTTACACTTTTTGAAATAATGAGTGTTGTTTGATAAAAGAATCACCGAGTATATAATAATTTTAATTATTATATATTTGATCCTATGTTTAAGAGTAGACGCTACACGAATCCTGGACGTTTCGTCCCCGTCAAAAAAACCAGTCCACGGACTTTTTGTCCCCGGCAATTATTGAGATAGGACATTTGAACATTTCGTTCCGGAGAGTCATTAGCCATAGGACGTTTGGTCCCCCGCATATTTTCATTAGGTATAGGACATTCGGTTTTCAGGTTATTAATTACTTCAAAGTTCATTATTTTACTAACATTTACTACTTTTATTTTTAATGAACAATTCTGTAATGTCTAATATACAGTGTTGTAAAGTATTTGAGTAAAAGTATCCAAATACTTTTTTCCATATTGAATACTAGGTATTTTTTGAATACTTTTTTTTTATTCTTTTAATTCTTAATTTGTTTCTACTTATAATTATTCTTGTTAAATAAAAATACCATGCCGTCATGGTTTTACTTTAACATTATATATTTATTTAACTACTTTATTTTAAGAGTATTTGATACAGATAGTATTCAATACAGATGTGCAATGTGACTGCAACGACTGCATTGGTACAAAAACAAAATGAAATAATAAATGTACAGAAAATAGTTAGTTTTAAGGAAAAGAAATTGCAATCATAATATTGTACGGGATTTCAATATAATGACGATAATTAAATTTTATACTATTTAAAAAAACATTAAGTCAGTTGACCTAAAAATAAATATATAATTTATCTTAATATAATAGTATTTAATTTATATTTATTAATTTTTACTACATTTTGTGTTGACTTAATACAATTGTGATTTATTTAAATCTTGACTATTTGTAATTGTATTGTATGAATATTGATTAGTATTTGTATATTTTGTAGTATTGTCATTTAAAGATTAAATTGTTCATTAAAAATTAATGTATTTAGATTATGAAAGTATACTGGGGACCAAACGTCCTATGGGTAATAACTCTCAGGGACGAAACGTCCGTGTACTGGTTCTTTTGACGGGGGCGAAACGTACATTTACCCGCCATACCTGTATGTGTTGTCTATGTCTTACAAACTGTTTTGTGCGGGTAAGAACCACTAGGGCTGTATCCAAGCTAAGCAACCAAATTTTCACACTATAAAGTATTTACTTTCTAGTGTTAACATTTGGTTTCTTAACTTGGACTACAGCCTGAGTGGTTCTTACCAGCGCGAAACTGTTTTTTGTATGTTTTACATTTGTAATACTGAGACAACACATACAGGTGTAGCGTTCTCTTAATATATTTATAAAATATATATTTTTTTTATTATTATTTATGTAGGTAATTTGTATTTAATTATTTAAGGATTTTTTTACCCCAAAAGTTGTTTTTAATTTAGTTAACTTGTCAATTTTTCCAATACAATTCAACTTTTAATAATTCTAGGTTTTATTATGGCAAGTGCATATTTAGATGTTATACTTATACCATAACAACATATTTTTTTTAAATAATCAGTTTTCTACCACCTATTTTTTATAACAAATAATAATATGTTTAATACTATTATGTATGGATAAGTCAAATCATGACAAAATAAATAATAATAATACTAATAGTTTATTATGTTGGCAATAATAGGACTTACTTTTGCTCCAGCTGATAGTCCGACATACTACTGCCCACAGCTCTTGTTAATGTTTGCCTCATTTAATTTGTTAAATTATCTGGCAAAGACCAAAAGACAATCTCACATTATCTCACCTATATACTATCATATTATATTCTACGAACGAAAAGGGTAAAACTAGGCTTTGAGGGAAGCATTGAGGGACTGGTTGGCGAACACGCTAGTTATCACTAAGTTGTGGACATACCTATTTACTTTGTAGTTTATGGTGATTCAAACATGATTATCATGAACTCAAAATTCAAACTTCTTTTATTTCTCAAACTCAAATCCATTTTTTACTTTAATATTTAAACTCAAATTAGACCATTTGTATAAACTGATAAAGGATAATATATGGGATATACTGGAAATAAAAATAGTATTCTTGGGTGTGGCTATTTATACTTTATTAGCATTTTAAATTAATTTTTCTTGTACTGTTACAAATGTTAAGTTGAAGTACCAAGTACCTATTCAATTTTGAGTATTAATTTCCAACAAACTTCAAAATTGTTTGAATTTCCGAAAGTTGGGATAAAGTTCAAGAACTCATCCTTACTATTATCACAGATTATATTTCATATAATTTGTATATAATATAAGTTTAGATATACGTTTTATATAATCTGTGCTATTATGTAACTAATAATATTTTAGCTACATTTTTTTTCCATTTTATTTTGAATTAGTTTTTGTATTTTTTACATGTTTGTTAGAATATTTTATATTTTTCATGCGTATCTATATTTTATCAATTTTAATTTTTAACTTCCAAACCCTTAGTATGGAGTAATATGAATTCAATTTTTTGGATTGTATGCCTTAATTAATTTTACTATGGGTTATAGTTTCTAGCACCAACAAATTCATTTTCAAATATATATTTATTTTTAATAAAAATATTGATAATATTTTAGTAATTTTGTATTATTTTAGGTATCAACAATGGATAAATCGGAGAGGAAGAAATCTTCTGATTTAAAAGTAATTATTAGATTTTTATATATTAAGTAAAAATCATATTTACTAATTCTATGTCACATTGATTTTTAACAATATGATTTAAAAATAATATGATACTTTGGTAAATAACTACTTTATCAAGCGACTTTTTTGCAAACAATCAATGTATGCTGAAAACGATGATGAAATCAGAATTTTTCAGAAACATTTTAATAAACAACTGCTGGTTATAACAGCATAATTTAATCAGTTGGTAATTAGTAATAACTTGACTGCTGCTATAGTTGATGACTATATGTTTAATTATAAACAATTTATTTTTACCTTTTGTTTTAACATTTCATGCAATGATATCTATACAAAATTATAAAACTTTTTCTTTTTCTTTTTAAATATAATAAAACACTAGTTAATTTCTATACAGTTGTACATTTTATGTTTTTTAAATTTTAATATTTGTTTTAATGCATTGTTTAAGAATATATGGATGATTATTTCTATGTTGGTATCACTGACTACCTATCTCATTAACTGAGTACTGACAACTGTACATCAAAAGATTTTTCTTATCCATTATAGTTTTCACCATTTTTAAGTTATTTGCGTTTTTCATTATTATGGTTTTAAAAAATGAGTACCTTAATGGTAAGTTTAATTTGTTTTTTGTAAGGCACTTATTTCAATATACAAGTTATGATTTACATGCATTGTTAACAATATAGTATGTATTGTTTTAGTGCAGATTAATAAAAACAATGTTAAAAATAATTTGTCTTAATTTAACATAATATACTTATCTTACTAAATTATGTGAATATAATACAGCTTCCCCGTTTAATACTTATCCTTATAGAGAATGTGCTTAATTTCTGTATTATTCTTTATATAAAAACCACTTCATTACATACTAAAAATTTAGTCTAGATTAGCTTATATTATAAATAATATACTAAATAACATACATGTACTAGCAAGATTGTATAATATGATAAATTAAAAATAATAAGTTATAATTTTAATTTGTTTATTTTTAGGAAACCAATAAACCAGAGCACCATTTTATTGGATTTGATATTGATGATGATGTATTGTTAATTATTGAAAATAAAAAAAAATGTAAGTTTTTTGTCTATGATATGTTAATACAGCTTTTTTGTACCAATTTTAAATTTTATCAATTTTTTTTGTTTATGACCACATTCAGCGGTAAAAATGGAACTAAGTAAAGAGACCGGCGAACCTATGGAAGTAGAAGAGCCATCCATTGTTAATAATAATCATGTTAATAAAAAGAAACAGTCTAAATCAAGTAGTAAGTTATAAAGACTATTTGTAAACCTTATATTTTATATCATCTATATTATGAATGTGTAATAATAATGTATTATTTTTATGATTGATTTATAGTTTCATCACCAGAACCTAATGATGTTAAGAACAATCGGAGTAATAAGAGGCATAAGAAAGACAATTTACATGATGCCTTGGAATCTTTGGAATCACAAGTTCCCCCTACTTTAGGTGAGTGACCCCCAATGTATAATAAAAATGAAAATGAACAAAATTTCCCTGTATTTTTAAGGAAAACAAGTAAAAATCTTCCAATTCATTTGTTTTCGATATAAATACACACTAAACATTAATTTCCATACTTATTATTTTCTTTTTTAACGTATTTCTTGTGATGCTTTAAGTCTTAAGAATCTTATGTTCATTGTTGTACTCGCGCCCATTGTATAACACTTGAACATTTAATTTGTGTGTATTAAACAAAATATGTTCTCTTTGAAGTTTTAATTAAACTTAATTTGATTGACTAAAACATAAATTACATTAGAATTAATTAACTTTTAACTTGCTATTAGAGTTGAATAAGATCAAATTCCAGGTCTCGTTACCTTGTGGTTTTTTCATCATTATTTATTTGATAATGAACATAAATATTAAAACCAAAACCAAATTAATTATATTTTAATCTTTTACAAAAAAAGGTTCCTACAATTTTTCTTAATTTTTTTTTTTTTCATTAATTAACCTGCTGCATCTTAAGCCATTGGGTGGTTTTTACTGTGGGGGAGGGAAGGGGGCTGCTTACGAATTGCGTCCCACGGCAAAAATTCCTTCCGAATTGCGTCCCAGGTTTTTGGGGGGGGGGGGTCATACTAATTGCGTCCCGAATATTTTTTTTACTTTTATAGGTACCAATTGAGTATATTATAAAAACTAAACAATATTTCCCTTCCCATTTGTATACAGTTTTAGGACTGTCTGTAGTAATAGTTACTACTACAGGTAGGTTAAAAATATTGTTTTTGCTTAATATATTATTTTTGTTTTTGTATTTTGTCATTAAATTGTAACTGTATGAAAAATATTATCGTTATTGGTGAAAAATATATTGTTTTTGTAAATTTAATTTTATAAAAATATTATAGTATTAATTATTAAATATTATACCGGTAAAAATTTAAAAGATAACTTTTTTATGAATTCAAACCTACTAATTTTTTTTTTTGAAAATCTGCCATTGCTTGTTTTTTTTTTTTGTAAATTGTTCTTTATTAATTATCCAAGTTGTGCGGTTGTTTAAGTGAATGCTACGTTGTTTTATATAAATATCAGTTTGTAACCTCTTCATAGTATCGATAAATTGAAAAATGTTTGGATGTGCATTATAAAACATCAAGTTGAGCTTAGAATGAAAAGCTTCACAACTTTTTGTAGTTCTCATAGTAGTAGCCGAGTATTCTGTCCATAATGAAGGCGGGAAACTAGATTCTGGTAGTATGATAGTTATTAAATTGTCTGTTAAACAGTTGATCACTTCGTCAGGATGAAGAAACGGTAATCCAAAAAAATATTTCAAGTATTTACTTGATTCGCTGTCAATTTTATATTCAGAACTTAGGCCAATTGATTGTATTTTCCCATACCAGCTTTGGCCCAAATTAAATCGGCATCCCTTCAGAGTTATTGAAGGCTAAACTGATAAAATAGCCAAATGTATTGTTTTTTCAAAATCTGCAAACACTCTTTTTGGAGATAATATAATATTGATTATATTACTTTCAGACAAAATGTGCAAAATTGCCTTTTCGTAGGTTTTTAATTCCTTATCAGGAAGTAGAAAAAATAATAGTGGTATATATTTACCATTTTGCAAGCCATGAACTGTGAAGATTTGAGTAAAAAGGCTTGGGCAACTTTTGAAAGTTCCGTCAACAAAAATTGTATCAACATTGCTTAAAAACATTAAGTTACTTTTATAAGAAAATAATAAGATATTTGATTCCTTATCATTTACCAACAAAAAGTTTTCACTACGATTGGTTAATAAGAAAACGCTCATATTGTCTAATGAAGTATGCAATTCCTCCAAATTTTTTGGTAATTTTGGCAAAATAGACGATCGTGCATAATGCATATTTTTTCTGATTAATTGTAAATTATATGTAGTTAAAGTATCTACATAATGTGTAAGTAATTCAAGATTAATGAATTTACTTGGTTTTTTTTTACAAATATCGTCGATAGCTTTTCGTTTTAATTTATTACTCACGATTTGACGGTTCAATATTTCGTTTTCTTCATCATGCCTATGATCAAGAACTTTTTTGACTACTTTATTATCGAAGTTCAAATGAATATAAGCTGTACAAGTTTTTTTACAATAACACCAAAATTCTAAAATATTTTTTAAGTACTTGTGGCATTAAAATTTGTATACACCAATCACAAATAAATCACATTGTTTTTCGCTAAACATGGTTTTAATTTCAGCCGCCATTGTTATTCAAAGTTAAAAACTTGGTTTTTAGTAAAAAGTAACTCGTGATAATAAGTGAACCGTTTACACTGCACTGCGACGTTAACTGTGTTTGTCTACAGAACGTAACTCACTAGAAAATTATCAAAGTTATAACGTAATCGTTTTTATTAAATTGATAATAACCAATAATTTTGCCTTTTAAGATATCACAGGTAATAGGGACGCAAGGAAAACCTGGGACGCAATTAGTATTATTCCTTTTTATACCTTTTTATATGGGACGCATTTCGTAAACAGCGTGGTAGGGAGGGTACTGTAGGTTTTAGTTTGGCAGAATTTTCAAGTGGGCACCCATAAGTATCTGCCATGCCTGGGTGGCTCAAAGGGAAGTGCAGCCCATGGCATCGCATCCAACTTTTTAGTCTGCTCGGCCCTCCGTCCCCCCTAATAGTAATTTGAAATAATTAACCAATAAAAATGTAATTAGTCATTTTTTATACATAATAATATATTGTATAATCATTTTTATTCACCTTGGCCCAAGTATTCTGACATATTTTGCTGATTATTACACAGTATGCATGTGAATGTTTTGTGCTCGATCTGAGTTTGCAAAAATATATTACGTCAATATTATTGAGTGAGTGTAACGCTCAATTTATGGATACTAATAACATTGTACGTTGATATATGATCAATAAATATTAATTATAAAATTATTATATTTACAAAAGTATTTAAACATGTGTCAATTGAAGGTATTAGAAGTATCTGATGAATTTAAGTTTTAAATAAACAAGTGGCTCTCAAAATACTAATGAGGAGAGCCGCACTCACCACGATACCAATAGCGGGTTATAAATATTATCCTCTTATCATTTTTGTAGTATGTGTATTTATTCTAAGATCACTCAAAAAAACAAAAACAATTATATGAGAATGCGTTTGATCTATGATGCTAATGGGTCTGAGAGAAAAAATAAATATTGTGCTGACATTTTATTTAACTTATAAACTCAAAATTAAAAATATCAGAGAAATTATACATTCATTTTTATATACATAAAATATAATAGTGCTATTTTATCTTTTTCTCATTTTATTAAAATAATAAATAATTATATTGTGATTTTAGATTGATTTTATACATTTTATGTTGCATTTTTAACTGCAATTATATTATGGTTTTTACTTCTCAGTTTAACACAGATTGTTAATGCAGTTATATCCGGTATCGAATCATAAGCTTATACCACAATTTTATTATTGTATACTAATATAGTGTCATATTAAATATTTTAAGGGAAATAATTATCAAGTAATTAAACTTGACACTACAGATGTTCTGGGTACCCGGCAATTACTCTATATCATGTTTAAGACTTGGTACTCGGAGTAATACCTACATTTTTACCCGGCCATTAATCGGTATTCGGCAAACTACTACATTTTTACTCTACTCATATCCAATGGCAAATGCTGATAATCTATTTATAAATATATGCATACCTATAATTAATATAACGGGAAAACTAAAATTCTAGGGTAATATATTATAATTTATTTTGGTACATATTGGAATAACTGAACCGATTTACAATAGCAGTTGATTATGAATAAATCATGTTTTTCTTGTTTTTCTTCTACGAAGTACAAAAATAAATCTTGGGTCTGACCCATTTTGTATTTACATTTCTACTCGGCCAATACTCGATACCCAGTTAGTATTAAAATTGTACTCTGCCAGTACTTGGTACTCGGTTTAGTACTAGATTTTTTACCCAGAACATATCTACTTGGCACACAAGTTTTGGTAAAATGGTCTTGGTACTACATAAAAAAATAACAATACAATTATCTTATTTTAAATTTTATATCATGATTGCTAAACATTAGTATTTAAAAACATAAGAATGATGTGTAGCTTGAGGAAGTTTTCAAGAATATAAATTTGTTACAGCACACTTTTCACTAGGTGTTGGGTTCAAAAAATTAAAAACCTGTAGGTATGCACTACAACCATAGTGTTTTTGTACAAATAAGTATCAAATAATGTAAATGAATATTGATTATTAAGGTGATATTTGTTTGATTTAATACCATATATTTATATATCTTATGTTATAAAAGTTAATAGTACTTATTTCTTTTAGGTTCAGTATGAGTTTCATAATTAAATATGTACTGGGTTAACATATCATTATTCATTTAAAGCATAGATTAAACATACATAGATAGCAAACGGCTGCGTAGAATTTGGAAATCATGTTCTTGTTAAAATACATGGCTCGGGTTGAGTCGGATACAGATTCTCGGCTACAATGCTATGATATTATGTAGAAAACGTCTATTGTCACCAAATTTTTGTTTCAAAATTCTACATAGCCGTTGGCTACCTATGTATGTTTAATCTATGCTTAAAATGAATAATGATTGGTTTTAAAAAAAATAATTTTATTTAATAGTTATTTATTTTTAACATTTTTAGAACTTACTACACCTACTTTCAACCTTACCTCTTCTAACACTAGAACACGGCGTAGTACTGGTAGAAAAATTAATGTGGATATCAGTGATGCTATTTATAAACTTCCTTTTGAGCACGGTAAGAAAATTATATTAATGATCTATTTTTGTGTATTATTTGTGTTTAATAATTTTCAGGTTGGAAACGAGAATTAGTTTACAGAACATCAGGTGAATCTACTATTCTTAATCGCGCAAATAGAAGTGGTGATGTATACTATTATTCTCCAACTAACCGAAAACTTAGATCATTACGAGAAATTCAGGAACAATTGGACATCTTATCTGATAAAGATTTAACCATAGAAAGTTTTACATTTTTAAAACAACCAATTGGCATGAATGATCGATCTAAAGAACTTATCAGAGATGCAAATTCTAAATTGTCTAAAGTAATTAAAATAGTTTTTATTTATTTTTGTCTATTTTAGCAAGTTATTCCATAGTCTAATTAAAAAACGCATTTAAATTTGTCATCTTTACTTTGTATATTATTTTTTATTTCCTCCCTGCTTTTTCTTTAATTCCAACAACCCTTAAATATCGTAAACTTTGAGTATTTTGAACCGAGAAAAATTGATGTTTAATCTTAAATAGTTTTAATAGTTGATAATGTTTAAATAAAAGAGAAGAATAGTTTGATTTATTTTTCAAGCTCACACACATTTCGATATTACATTAACAATGTCTGGTAATTTGATAATATTTTTTTTTCAGACAATAAGTAATAACTCGAAACTATTTTGTTATTAATTAAAACCTTTACAACTTAATGTCAAGGTTTATTTTACTTTTATTATGTTTTAAAATCTATTAATTAAATTTTTAAAAGTTTTATCAGTGCAGAAGATTTAAGTTTGAGTTTAGGAAATAAGTTTGTCATCTCTAATTTTTTCAATTATTATATAATCTTAAATATAATAAATATTACTTGAGTAATTTTAAATTTCCCTTCATACATTTTATGGTTTTAGGAAGACTCTTTTGTTGGTGTAGCTGTCAGACCTAAAAAGTCTAAGACACCTGTACAGCGGCCACCATTTGATTACGAACTATCAGATGATGAAAACAACAAGTCTTCAAGCAAAATGAAAATTGTTTTCAAAAATGCTAAGAGCTCTTCTAGATTGAGATCTAAAAAAGGTAAAAGTAAATACATTTTATTATTATTTATGAATTATGAATAGGGGATTCAATCTTAACTGAGTATATACCATATAAAAAAATGGTTTATATTTAATAATATATATTTATAAATTATTAAATAAACCTAATTCAAATAATTGGTATTGACTCTTGCAGTTGTGAATTAGTATACTCGCATTATCTCAAATAATACTACATCCCATTGTAATATTCTAAAATGCACACATAAGGCAATCTATCAGTGAAATATTAAATTAAAATACAATTCACATATTTCAAAATTGCATACAATATAATTTTATATTTGGTGGAACTCCCTGTGTATTTATTATTTTATTTGCCTATTAATCTGAGAAATAATAATTTATTTTATTGTGCAATTTAAATACAGAACTGACATTTTACATTATCACATATGTATTTCAGAATCAATGAATACATCTTCATCTACACCGGAATACATATCTGAAGACTGCCAAGCTATTCAATCTAGTGCATCACCTAAAGTTTCTTCTCCAAAACTTGAGAAAATTGAGATAAATAACACAATAATTAAAAGACGGTAACATATTGGCTTTATTTTTTATTGTTAATGCTTGAACAGTTTTTGCTTATTAGTTTATTATTTGGCTTCACAAATGTAACGCAAAATTAAGGGGTTGTTATCCTTATGCTTCCTTCATAATCCTTCCTCCATCAAACCATATACGTGAATGGATAAAAATAGGTTGTCAACATCAGATGGTGAAGTCATTATGCAGACACCTTGTGGGATACGGTGCCCGAATAACGATGAACCTGCCACTTTAATGTGTGCTCAATGTCTGGTCTACTATCATCCAGCATGTGTCAATTTAAATGCTAATTTAAAAATTGTTGGCTATATATGTATAGTAAGTGATTATTTATAGTTTTCTTTATTTTTTTGAAACAATCAAACTTTTTCCTTTTTTTGTATTTAGAACTGTCGATCTACTGTGCGACAAAGAAATAGACGTGTACAGTCTTCTCATACTGTGGTTGTTGGTGCTACTGAACCGGAACAACTACGTGTTGAACCAATTCGTATACGACAGGTGCATCAATCGTCAGACACACCTAACTTTTTTATTGATAGAACACCTATTTCTAAAACTGAAGAAACACAATATGAAATTGATGAATATAGTGATAATAGTGATTCTGATATAATTAATACAGTTATTTGTCAAGGAAATGTATACAAAACTACAATGGTTGATGGTAGTTTTCATGAGCAGTATGTTTATGAAATGAAACAAACACGAGGACCCAGTTTGATGACCTGTGTTATTCAAGAACCTAAAAATCTGGATGAGTAAGTAATTAATATTTTATCTTTCCTATCTTTTGGGGGAATGTAATTATGGACCAGGCACACAGTAGCGTTGGTCATTGGTCTTATTTGTATGAATGAGTGTATGTTAAATGTTCGTTTTTTTACTACTTTAATCATTTGATTGTGTTTGTTTTCAGATTTGAGCAGAAAGTCAGCTATCCTATATTCCTTTCAACCCCTATTTGTTATTTACTAATTGTTTCATACATGTTCTGAGGCCTAATTTAGTTTGCATGTTAAAGCTAGTGGTCTTTATATGTGCCTGGTCGAGAACATAAATAAATATTTATAATGCTTTCAAGTACAATAAAATAATTATAAACCTAATTTTTTTTTTTTTTTAATAAAATTTAACAGGAATTCTGAAATGAATGGTTCTTCAAGTGAAATAGTTGTATCACCTTTCGCTTCCATGCAATCATTCAATTACATGGTTAAATCAATGCGATATGTTTTTCAACATTTGAAAACGCACGAGCTGTTATCAGCTTCTAGAGTATGTACTGCCTGGAATATAATTGCAATGAATAAATACTTAGTAAGTATAACCTTAAAATGTCATATAATGTATTTTTGCTTATTTATTAAATATTTTTAGTGGCAGAATGTTCGTTTAAAAAATTCTATGGTCTATGACTGGGAAAGGTTTGTAGACTCAATTGATCAACAAAGAACTGTTACATTAGACACTAGACGTATGTTGATACCCTCCAAAGTTGACGACTTCGAAAGTTTTTGGTTGCGATTTGCAAACGCAATGAAAAGAGCTCAAAAGTTAAAGGTCATTGAATTGTATAGATGTCCTGTCATTGTAGTTGAAGATATTATTTACTCATTACCTCAAATTGAAGTACTAAATGCTGCTTCAATAAAGTAATAAAAAAAATATAATCCATTTTTTTCAATAGTTTGAATAACTAATTTTATTTTTAGAAATCCAAAAATGACGAAAGAGACAAAAAACCCCAATGATTTAATGTACCTAAACTTAAATTATTTGGGACAAATGACAAAGCTCACAGAGTTAAGACTAAAAGGTTTAACTGGAATAAAATTGACGGCAGTGCCATCGTTTGAAAATTTAATACATTTGAATAGATTTGTAAGTTTCGTAATAATTAATTGTATATCTACAATTAAAATATTTGAGGAAAGAAAATTATCATATTTAATCTTATTATTTTTATGATTATTTAGTCATTAACCTCTATCAAAGCATTTCCAAAAGATATCTATCAGAGTTTGAATACTATTACTGATAATATTGAGTTTTTTGAAATTGGTGATTGCGAATGCTTAACAAAGGATTTTGCCGTGTCACTAAAAAGATTTGTCAATTTGAAAACATTGAGATTAGAAAATTGCCTTAATAGATGGGATCATTCTACAAAGGATGTTTTTACTGCCATTAGAGGTCTTGAAAAGCTCAATGTTCTGGAATTGGTAAACATAGAATTCAGTAATAATGTCGAAGATGAATTGGAAAAATGTGTTGGTATTAAAGCTTTACTGATTATTCCTGCTTATGTGAGCCAAGTATGTAAACTTCTTATGTATTAAATTATGTTATAACGTCTATTTATTAATATTAATCTAATTTATTAATTTTTTTTTAGTCTGCTACTACTAACTGTCACCTGATTGACTGTCTCAAGAAACTCTCCAAGACATTAACACACTTGGTTTGGGGATTAACTCATGAGTTACTCCGTGTTACAGACTTATTTATAACTCAATATCAACAGAACCAACATACTATTGGTTATAATTTAGAATTATCCCATACCAAAGAAACTACTAACAATATACCTATACTCAGAACAAGAAAGCCCCGACAGCGACCAGGAGATGAGGCTACTCCTGAAAAAGACAAGTCAGATAATGTTGATATACTTTCAGTTCCTGCTCTAGAGAAATTGTTAGATACTATGATGCCTGATGCTAAGACTAAGGTAATGAAAGTTCCCTTTTCTGGAACATGTAGAGTTTATTTGAGTGAACAGTTTAATGATCTTTAATTAAATGTATAGTATTCATTTGTTTCTTTACACGAGAAACCTTTTGCGATATAATTCTATTTTTTTGTGACCAGGAAATATTTTTTTTTGTACTTCAAGGTGAGGATTTTAATAAAAGTTTAAATTATTAGTTATAATGTATATGAATTATGTTTTTCTGTATGTATAATAATAACTGATCATTAAGCATAAATGTTATCATACATTTAGTCGATTTTTAATTGTAATAATTTTTTTCATTTATAATTCATATTTTTTTTTTTTTTTTCATTTGTAAATAATATAAATCTATAATTTGAAAATGTAATTCTTGCTATTCATTGTATAGTAAATTAATTTTAATTCAAATCTAAATGAAATTAGGTTCAAGAACTTTTTAATAAACAGTAATATTCTATGTACTTTTTATGAAAAATAATTCGTGCCGTATGGAATCATTTTTAAAACTGTAAATCAACTGTCTTTAATTTAGATATATTTTACAATAAAAGTTAGTACATTTTTTTGGTTATAAATAAATAACCGCTATCTATTTTGCTTAAATACAGAAGAATAACTTTTCAGGTGATCTAAAAATCAATGGATAGATCTTGACTAGCTGGGCCGAGGGTCAATACTCAATACCGATATACTATAATTATTGTACTAAGTGAGAAGTGTAGAATGGTGTATTTTAAAATATATAAAGAAGTACACCAACTTTTAACATCGCTTTTTGTACAAACACAATTACATGGAACAACTGTTTACTAATACGGGAGTCTGTGATACTAATACTACAGTACTGATGTCAGGATTGTCCAGTAGACATCTGACCAACTCATACTGGTCACAAATTAATTTAATTTTTGAACATGTATTTAATTGTAATGCCTTTGGATTAATATGTACACTTTGAGGTAAACATTTTCATGTCTTAATTTTCTATAAATACTTGAAATTTGAATATTTTTATGAATTATTTAAGTAATTAAGGTCCCGAGACAACTAGTTTTCTTATGGTGGCTAATTTAAAAGTTAATTGATTTTTTCACCAGGTGACTGACTTGCTAGACATTCCAACACTGTCTTCAACTTAACACTTTCTACAGACAAAAAAACCACGTCCATAAACCAGGGGACTGTATCATTTGATTCTCGATTTTCGTGGGCCATGGGAGATTTCTAGGCACTTAAACTGGACTTTTTAACCTTACTGCCTTCGAAACGAGACCGTCAAATGGCTAAGCCTTATCACCTCCGACCACCAAATTTGCCACCACTATTTTACGAGTGCTACCCACGGACTAAGATAAGTTTATCTTAGTCCGTGGTGCTACCTATATAATTCTATCTCAAATGATTCCAACTTCCACTTTCAGCTTACTCGGGGGGGGGGGGGGGGGTCTTGCCCGGCAAGCTTGGTAGTTTAGTATAGTAATAAATAATAATATTGTTAATTGTAGATAGCGAACTCAGGTCTTGAATTGAAGTTTCAAGGCGGGGTGGCAATTGTATGGTATTTCATATGACAAATAAGATGATATTATCATTTATTTTGTATCGTATTTTATTTGACCATTAAAAAAAATATTATTCCTAATACGTTTTGTATAATAAATGAAATGTTTGGCCAACCGACAAAATGGCCGCCGTTCACAACTAAGCTTCACAATGTAAATTGTATAGGCAAGGTGGATACTCCTTGTGTATAGGAGTTCCTTATCTAGTTTAATATTGTTCTGTGGTAATATAGAACTATAGAAGTCTGTGTATCAAATGGTATAAATCCATAGACCTTATACTTGAAGTATAAAGTCTATGTATAAATCACGGACTTAGGGCCGTTCTTACGATGTCCGGTTAAAGTTAACCGACACTTAACCGGAAGAATTCTGCCGGTAATAAAATCTGTTATCAGTCGGTTAGCGTTAACCGACACTTTACCGGACACATAGAGTAATATTACTCTATTATCTATGACCGGACATTGTAAGAACGGCCCTAAGATATCTTTGCTGTTCTATGATATCTTGGTCCATGGTACAAATACAAATGGTATAAATCACGGACTAAGATATACAGGACTGGACACGAGATGAATATTGTGGTTACGAAATGTTTTACAACAGGCGGAGTTCGGGGGGATATTTTCCTTTTAGCATTACTAGCGCCGTCTTAGTGGATACTTATGGAACTAGAAATTTGTATGATGTGTTCTAGTTCCATAAGTATCCACTAGGATGGCGCTAGTAATGCTAAAAGGAAAATATCCCCCCGAACACTGCCTGTTGTAAAACATTTCGTAGTCAACCCCCCCACACCCTCCAACCTTGTCGTGTCCAGTCCTGTATATCTTAGTCCGTGGTATAAATCATGTCCGATTTTGATAAGTCTTATCTGTTTTTGTACTATCAATACATTATTATTTTATGTAAATTATTATATTTTGTCTTTTATCTTCTCTCGGTATATTCCATATTTCCATAGTATAATATACACAGTTGTAGGATGATTAATATCGTCATTTGTAGTGATTCGGTTAACAAAGACTTAAAATACAAGCGTGAATAAGTATATGAAGTACATAACATTGTACATACAATTTGCTTGATGCTGACGTTCTTGACAATTAATGCGGACATTTTAAATAAGCACAACGCGCTTGTATAAGGTGATGATATATTTTAACAAAATATTGTAAATCATTCGATATGGCCAGGATCGTTCATTTTTTATACACTTATTTGTTTTATCTGAACGCACGACTGTCATTAGCGTCAAATGAGTCCATATCGTCAACCATGTCTATGTAAGTACATTTTTCATGATTTATTTTTGGGATCTGTGAATAGTGAATGGTATTTTTAAGTAAATCATTATCAAATTTCTGATTTGATGTCCATTCAATTCTCGGTCTAGAGATGTATTGCCCGACGGATGTCAAAATCTTCTGCAATCATTTGCCAATGAGACTGCCAGGTTCACACTATGTGTTGTAACTAATGCTCGGCCAATCACAGTATGCGAAAAATGCGTGAACGAGTTCAATCAAGTATTCAAGAGATATGAAGAAATTCAAAAGGTCTGTAAAATTGTGAAATAAACATGAGTTGCTTAATAAAAAAATATGTTATTTTTTCTCCCTTTAACAGTTACATAACAACGATAGTGAGGTAGACTGTCGAGCAGTTTTGACTAATATTGATCGCTTACAAGTTGTATATGCAAGTTATAACTATGTATTGGACATGTGGGAAAAGGCTTCTTGTAAATGTCAGTACTTGCATAGTTAATACAACTAATACCTATTGTTCATACTTGTAATATAACCAGTTTTTATTTTATTATTATAGTGTGTTTAAATGGTACTGTTTTCAATGACAAGACAAGAGGAGTGATGATACGAGGTGATAATTTAGATAAGTGTATATCTAAACACATAAATGACACAAAACTTTCAAACACATCACTCTGCGCTGACTGCAAACAATACTATGTGAATTTAACCAATTACTATAATAAGCATAAAAATGATAACACATTTTGTATGGATGTTGTTGATTTGGTGAGTGTTTTTGGCTACCTAGTTAATTAGTAATTTTGAAAGTTAATTCACTTTTAAGTTTTAACCACTGATTTATTGTAGATCAACAACACTCAAAGTGACTGGAGTTTAAAATGGAAATGTCATGAATCGAACTATGACTCTGAATGGGTATTACTAGTCATTTCATTTATTGTACTTTTAATGCCTGTTTTATTTTATTTTATCAATTGGTTAATATCTCAAGAGAGATCAAATGTATTACTATCACGTGAGTATTTTATTTATTTAAAATTTAAATACAAACAATAGTTAATTTTATAGTGATTTATTTTGTGGTTAACTTGCAATATTCATTGCTTCATTTCATAGAAAACCGTTGGCATCAAAGATTTACGAATAATGCAGCATCGACTTCCGGTTACGTTGTAATATCCTAAATGATTGTTAGTGTTGATTGGACTATCAGCACTTTAAAATGTATATTACATTAATTGTAGTGTGACTCAAATATGATATGTAAGATAATATGTTTATTCATGTAAAATCAATAATTGTTAAGTTAATTAATCATATTAAGTGTCAACTGTGATATTCAAAAATTATGTAACATAAAAAATAAAAATATAATTATTATATATGTTCAACCTACAGTATCTGAAAACAAATTGTAACTTAATAATTATTATTATTGTTTTATTTTTATAGAATTATACCATGTTATACTTTATTTTAATTGGATCTAATATTTTACTTTTTGTAACTCGTCATTCACAATACCCAAATACTGTACACACCTTGTGTTGGTGTTCTATATTCTTTTGATGCCAAACCGACGTAGTGGCATAGTAGACGGTTGTTTCTACTCAACCCACCACTGACAAATGGCAATTATTGTAGTTCTCTACGTGTATGTGTCTATTATTTTTATATATAAAAACGTGTATGGATAAATTAAAAATGTTGGTCTCCTGCAGATACCATTATAACCCAACAATGCTCCAATTCCACATGTTCCTAAATATTGAAACTATTCACTCGATTTCTCATGTAGCGATTTTCTTATTTTATTGTAATTCAAAAACAAATAACTGTAGATACATGAAAATTTGACTGAATGTTTATATTTTCATTTTCTAAACAACATACAATTTTGACTCGTTTTGAACTGTTTACAGACAATTTCAAGTTTATATTATTTTTTTCTATAAATATCAATAAAATTTTATTTGTTGGGTCAAAAAACGTGAAAAATTAATACATGGCTCCTGATATATTGATATAATAGCAGATAAAAAATATTAAAAATGCATAGGCACTTTTTTTTTTGTATAATCATTTAAAGTTACATTTAAAATGTATAAAGTATTTATTAGTTAAAAATGTATAACATTTTCAACTTTTATATCTAAGGATTGAAAATTTAAAATAAGGTTCCATGTAAATAGGTTATATATAAATATTACTTTATTCACAATAGTATCATCAAATATACTTAGTAATATCATAGACTGGCTGACTGTTTTTGCTCAGAATCGTTTTTCTTATACAATTATATAATTGAATTAAAATTTAACACAATTTGTTAGTGGCCCACTAGTAACCAAACTATACAGCACTACAGCAGAAGAGCGGCACCCACTTGCCAATCTTTTTTTTCTTTAATTATTTTTTATAACAAATCACGACATCAGTTTAAGCGTCTTGGGAGATTACCAGGTATAGTAGTGAAGTTCAAATTTTTAATAAGGGAATTCGATTGAGTACTTAGGTGGTTGTAGAATCTTTTATAGAAACATTTAGATTCATCACTTAATGTTTTTAGTTTAAGATCTGAATGTAAGAAAAAATTAAGATGTAGGGAGGTGCATTTGTTAACTTCCTTAGAGCAATGTTTTGAAATGCTTGAATTTTGTTAGTGTTTGATTTTTTTGTATTACCCCATAACTGCAGACTAAATGTTCAATTAATTGAATTAATTGTTGATGTAGGCCCCCACATCAAATGTTTGAACCCTATACTAAATGCTTTTGTGGGCCTCATTAAATATTATATATAATATAAAATAAGTATTCCTATCAAAATTAAAAAAATTACAAATTGATTTCAACAGGTCCCTGAACTCCAGGTCCTTGTGGGGGCCCTGGTTTACAGTGTTGTTGTTGGCTGGAATGTTAATTTGAAATGTAGTGTAATATTTGAGTATTTTCATATTCATTTTTAAATTTTTTTCAAGTTTTATCTATATATATATATATATAAAAGAGAGTTCAAGAAAATGTTAGACCATTTATAACTCAAGAACGACTTTACCAATTTCAAAAATTCTTTTATCATTAGAATGCTACATTATCCCTGAGTGCTGTACGCTTATTTAAAAAGGGGAAATTAAAACATGGAGAGGTGCTCAAATGGATTTTGAGATTTACAATGGAAATTTTTGTTTATAAATGGTTGCTATTGTAATAAAAATTATTGGTTGCCATTGGTTAATCATTAATTAAATTAATATTAAAATGTCATGTCACAGTGTTTGTTATTGAACTCCTCCGAAACGGCTAGACCGATTTTGATCAAATTTTTTGTGTATCTTTGGTAGGTCTGAGAATACGTTTTATGCTAATTTAAAAAGGGAATTGATCACCCCCGGAAAGTGCTCAAATAGGAATTTTGAAATTTAAGAAATTTTTGTTTATTAATGGTTGCTACCGGTTATAGGTTTGAGAATAATATTTATTATTATTATTATTATTGATTTATATATTTAATATAATTATATTTATAATTAATATATTTTATTTTATATTCTGAAAGAAAATATGCTCATTCAAATGCTTCAAGATCCATCCGCTGAAACATTCTCAAAACAACTGTTAGATATCGACAATGTAAAAGGAGCTTAACATGAAAATACTGGATGCATAAAATTGTCAAATGATTTCTGCACAATCATAAATTCACAAAATGATCTCATTGACTAGATATTTCCCGATATACACACACAATACTGAATACTTGAACCATGAGTGGCTGGCAGAAAGAGCAATTTTGGCAGCAAAAAATGTGGATGTCAATGATTTGAATTTTAAGATGCAACAGTTGTTGCCAGGGGACTAGGTGTCATATAAATCTATCAATACAGTTTGCGATACCAATGAAACTGTAAATTATCCAGTATTTTTGAACTCATTGGATTTGCCAGGCATGCCACCCAGTGGCGTACATAGAAATATTTTTTAGGGTGGGCTATAGTAGATAGAAACTAGCAAATGATCTATTACTATCTACTATATAATTAACAGTTTCTATGAATATATTCGTATTTGTTATTTTTCAATAGGCTATGAAGTATTATAACTTATAATAGTACCTAATATAATATATTGTTGTTCTATTTAAAGACTAATTTCGAGGGGGGCCCTCCGCTGCAGCCCACTATGCCCACCCCTATACTATACCATACTACTACCCACTACTATACGCCACTGATGCCACCACACCATTTATATCTGAAGGTTGGATCTCCTATTATTTTGCTTCATAATTTGAAACTACCAAGGCTGTTCAATGGAATGCCATTAGTCATTAAAAAATTGATGAAAAAAGTTATCAAAGCATTTTGAATGGCAAGTTCCGAGGAGAAGATGTATTACCACCACGAATCCCTATTATTACCACAGATGTCTCAATTGAATTTAAACAGGTTCAATTTCCAAACAGATTGGCATTCGCAATGACAATCAATAAGTCTCAAGGCCAAACGATGTTTGTTTGTGGCTTAGATTTGGGCACACCATGCTTTTCACACGGACAATTATATGTGGCATGTTCTCGCGGGGGTAAACCATCCAGTTTGTTTGTGTTGGCTAAAGATGGACTCACTAAAAATATCATACACTCCATTGCACTAAGAGACTGATGGTGTTTTTTAATTTTCATAATAAAAGTACAATGAATTCAATACAAAAATAAATACTAGGTGTTTTTTTATCGTTCATAGTGCTCCATTCCTCTTTCAGTCATATACCAGTATAACACATCAACACACAATTACAATCATTTAGTTATTATGTTTGTCTGTAGGCCTTTTATTAAGGCTCCTACATATAATGGGTATGCTATGCCACCCTTTTGCGGCTCATTTATCAATATGAATATTCATATTCACATAAGATTATTAGTCTCAAAATGGCGGCGTAGCATACCTGTATCTATAGTGTCCTACTTTATGCATTTCTGAACAATTGGACCGATTTTGATAAAATGTTTAGTGTTTTTAAACTTTAAGTGGATCTCGGGATTATTTAGATTCACAATTGGACCCGGTAGGTCCAACTCAGGGGAAACGCGCAAACAGGGATTTTGATATTTACGATGGAAATTTTTGTTTATAAATAGTTGCTTTTGGTTATAGGAGAAATAATTAATAGAAATTAGTATTTTATTTGTATATTGGTTGCCATTTGTTAATCGGGCAGATCAGGTACAAGCATGCATCAAATCTAATTTTTGCACATGCCTACCTAGGTGCCAGAGTTGCAGTTACTGCAGAGTGTTACACCCAGAAAGAGTTGAAGAATCACAATTTTTTTAAGATTTGTAATTTTGTAACGGCAACAAAAGCGCAGGATCAGCTAGTTATAAAATATTTAAAGATTTATTTAAAGTATGGGTGTATTATGTTTTTATTAAGGTAAATAAAAAAAGTAATTAATTTTACAATTGATCAATAATTGTTGTGTTAAATATTTTGTAACTTAATAATTAATAATTAATGTCTTAGAATTAATGTTAATTGATATATAAACTATACATTTATAAATAGAAAAAGTTATTAAATTTGCTATGTTAAAAAATGTACCATTTTGTTTTAGTTTTATACAACTATACAATAATTTACAATTAAAATTATTTCCGTACAATAATAAACAATTTTAAGCTCTAGATTACAGTATTTATAACAAATTTACAGAAATGTTGTTAGTTAAATAATATTAACATAACATTAAGTTCTCATTGCGGTCGCTGGAACTGTTTTAAAACCTGAATGAAATAAAATTTATTGTTAATAAACAGATTTGATACAAGTGTATTTTTGTACAATATCTTAGTATGCTTTATTTTGTATACACATATCACAATTAAATAGGTAGTAGGGCTGATGTTAAAATGTAAAATACGAAATATAAATATTTTATAACTAATTTAGATTGTTTAAAATTTTAAAATATACAAGTTTTTGTGAACTTCAAATTCTCAATATTATTTAGGGGCCCCGTCACAGTTACATTTGTTTTCTCTGTCTTACAAGTGCGTAATATAGCAAATTGTACGCTCAGCAAAACATGTTTAACTCCCGTTAGTTTAAAAATTAGAGCGAATTGACCTCTTATAAAATTTAAAGGCAAGATTATTATCTAGGCAATGACATAGGCTTTTTATTATATTTTAAGTTTAAAGCAAGTTATAAGTATTTTAAGATGTACAAACAATTTACAATTTTAAAATACACAGAGGGAGATATACGTGTTTTTCTGAGAGTAAAATTTGCTATGTCACACACTTCTAAGACGGAGACAACAAATGACACTGTAACGTCCCCTTAATAGTTATACTTATATGTATAAATGTATTAAATACAATATAAATGCAAACACGTTATTATGAAAATAGTTTAAAATATATTTTATGGACATTAATATTAGTGCACACATATCATATTAAAAAGAAGGTTTATACTTACTCTATTGAGTTTGTTGAACGAAGATCATCGATTCTTAACTTTTTTTGTACTAGAAGCTCGTTTGGCAGAGGCTAATGGATTTCTGGGAGTGGTTGGACCATTTGTCAAACTATTAGATTTTCCACTTTCTTTGGTCATATTATCTTCACTACCACTATTTCCTGTTTGTGACTCAGTTTCACTGTTTATTTCAGCTAACAATAATAAATATTTAATCATATTAATAATATTAAATTTATTTTAATTAGTTATTAAAACAATTAAATAATTTGGTAAATACCTTTTTCTTGAGCTTCTACTAAACCACTCACAGCCTAGAAAAAACATAATTTTTAAAATATTAACTTACATCAATAAATTCAGATGTGATACCATTTATAACAGTCTGAAGGAGGGCTTATAGCGTTTAAGTTTTAATAGATACAAAAATAAAGTACATAATGTTTATTTTAGTGTAATATAAATGTATAAGTAGGTATATTGAATTAGTCACTAATAAGTAAAATGCAGATTATTTTAACATGTACGGCATATAATATATTATCTAAACAATTTTCATTGAACATAATAATGGAAGTTACAAATTCCAGTGTGGCAGTATCCAACCAAGATAAAGATTTATAAAATAATAGCAGAACATTTCGCTAATATGCAAGAAATTGAGCTTTACTCTTAAGGAAGATGAAACAAAAATTTTTTTTTAAATATATATTTTATACAATATAACAACAAAAAATGTAAGATTTAACTATTTAAGGGAAACTTATAATTATTGACTATTGGCTATTAATAACAATAGTATAATTAATAATTACTTATACAATTATTATATACTATGCTTTTAACTTTCATAAAATAACAATGATAATTAATATCACGACATTTATATTAAACCATCAGACAGGTTAGGTTTAGTTAGGACATCACTAACATACAACCAATTATATTTTAATGAGCCTGCAGTCCTAACTCATTTTGCATGCCTAGTAGGGATTAAGAAAAATTTGTTTTGAGAATAGTAACATTAAGTTGAAAACTTTTAGTAGTTTTTTTTTTTTAAACTATATTATAAAGTTATTATTTATGGAAAATAAAACTTACAGCCATAGAAGTAATGGAAGATTTGGAAAAAAGACGCTCAGCTTCTTTAAATTTCCTGTTACGCGGTTCATTTTTAGAATTAGGAAGCTTATTAGCTGATGTAAGATATCTGTCCCAACCACGAATGATATTACCGTATAAATGAGTATCTTCTAAGTAACTTCCTTCAAATGCATAAATTTGACGTTCAAGATTGGCCAAAGTTTCCTAAAACCACAATTAGTTATCAGTTTGAGAAACAAACAAGTATTTCATACAAATATTTAAATTAAGTTATTTTATTTCAATGTTAAAAGTAATCATAAAATGTAACTATCAATGTAATAACACATTTTTTATTTACTTAAATATTTAATGCTAGAGTACAATAGGAATAAACATAAAAATTAATATAATAGTTGTTTGAAATTTTAGAATTATAATCAAAATAATTGGTCAATAAATTATTGTCTATTATTTATGTCTATTATTAAATAGACTATTCTCAATAGGTACAAACTTTTTGTACAACTCAATTACTTTTGAACGCAAATTACAAAGGTACAGAGCTGCTGGTAAACACAATATAATTATTGTTGTATCAACAGGTACTGTATCTCTGGTCAAGCTCTTGTATTTTAAGTGTAAATTAAATATATCAAAGAGTTTGAATGATTACGGACGGTTTTGATGATTATAATATTATATACTTCATGTAAATACGTAATGTTATGTAATTTACAATGTAAAATAATAATCTGTTCAGTTATGTGGGTAACGTTGAAAAACCTAGGCAACCTCTATGTCCTAGCTGGTTTGCACGCATGCGGGGAAAAACAAAATTGCTTGTATTTCGCCGCATGCGGGCAACGCATTGCGTGCAGAACAGCATGGTCAGTATATAAAACGCACGCACTCGCCCGCACTAGCTAGGACATAACCCTTAGTCACCCTAGTGCGGGCGAGTGCGTGCGTTTTATATACTGACCATGCTGTTGCCCGCATGCGGCGAAATACAAGCTATTTTGTTTTTCCCCGCATGCGTGCAAACCAGCTAGGACATAGCGTAAGAGTCACAAAACAAACTTACAGCGATATCTGATTTGCGTTTGACGAGCTCGGCCAGCTCGGTGCGCAAGTCGTTGGAACCGGACGACTTGGACATGACGTGTAGGATAGGAAACGGTGCCAAGTATCTACCGCTAGAATACGTTACCCGCCCAAACCACGATTGAGAACTTGAGAAAAAACCAATGAAATAATAATTGGTTACAGCGTTTCTTGACCAAAGCGATGCGTGTCGCGTGTTGCGTTGTCGCCGTTATTCAATTATCGTCAAATGGTTTTAATTTTTCAACAAAAAATCGGTGTCTGTTATCAGTAAATTAACACAGTATCACGGGTCGCTAGTGACCGCGGTTTGTTAATTTGTTGTCGTCGAAATATTGGCGGGATCCGAAAAAGGACGGCAACGTTAACTACGCGTCCGTTGGGAACGTTGGTGGCACTGCGCCGCTCTCTGATTTAGGCGGCGCGAGCTTTATTTTTTGCCTGTATCCCGCTCGCACCTCTGAGCTTTGTCCTGGCGCTCCGGGTGGATTGATTTACGGCTTATGCGTATTATTGATTCGCCCACGCGCGTACGCCGACGTACGCGCGCACGGCGTTCGACCGCCTGGCCGGACGGCTGCAGTATAGTTGGCGGCGGGTTAGCGCGCCGGACAGCAGCTGCACGCGTCAAGCCACACGTCGTCGCGTCGCTATAAATAAAACGGTCGTTTGCACGCGGGTGTTCGGGTGCAGCGGTGTGCGCACTCCGACACACTCTCCGACTCTGTTCGACGGCTGGACAGTAGTACGTCGCGTGTACCTGTCGGCTGCGAACGGTAATCGAGTTAAGTCGACGGAGTCCAAACGGGGTGCCTGCAGTGCTGATCGCGGCTGTCCGACAGTGGACAAATCGACGGAGGTAATTTTAGTGTGGAGGTTTTCGTAACGAGGGGAGAAGTATAATATATAAAATATTGAACATTATAGGTACTCAAAACCAGTGCCGCAGTGCCTTTTGAATAAATGGGAATACATATAAATTCGATAATATTATATTATACCTATACTCAGGGGTTAAAGTGAGGGGGTGGAGGGGGACTCAGTCCCCTACCACGGACGGTGGTTAAAAAGCGTCCACTTTAACAAATTAGGATTTTATATATTAGACATTATACATAAAACTATGTATGGAACGCTTAAGACTATATTATGAAGACATTAGACCCCTCTGGAATTTTTTCCCACTTTAAGCCCTGCCAATTCTGCGCATACGAATATATACAATTGAGGAATTTGGAAAAAGTTTTTTTTTTAAATAAGGATAAGGTGGATAAGTCTTAATCGATAGGTACCTAATATATATAATTATATTGCATACCTGTACGCCAGATGTAAATCGTTATTCAGAGGTGGGGGAGTAGCTGGAAAAAAACGATTGAAATTACAGTTTTAATATTATTCTTATTGACTAATGTGAATATGACAGAATAATATATAAATATTATCTGTTATGCAATATTGTATCAAATATTTTTCGACCGAGATACAAATCGAAATAGTGTCTTCACGTTCACTGGTAGACAGTACCCTATATCCCAATATGAGATCTCGTGTTCAACATATTATGTACCTACAGAGCTCACGCACATGGTCCAGACGGTGGTAACAGATGCAAGTGGTGGAATCGAAACTCGAGAGGGAATGGTCAACGGGCATGGTCAAGACATTGCATGTAGTGGCTTGACGAAGGGTAATTTCATAAAATTGCCTTTGAAAATTTAAGATTTTTGGCCTTTTCAGGGTACATAAGTATGCCGTATACTCGTGTGTGTTACGTTTGGGCTATCTTATAATTATATTTGGTACGTAGGTACCTAAATAAGAATATACAAAATTACAAATACTGAAATACATCCTGGTACACGGTTACAGTTTACATTTTAAGTCGACACGATAAACATTATAGACGTAATTCGTAGGTAGGTACATACAATTATGTGGATAATGGTTAGTAAGAGAATTATTGAATTTCTGTGTAAACTTATATACTCTTTAGTAATCGTCATTTGTGCAAAGCCTTTCACAGCTTCAAACGATAAATCCTATAAATATCTATCTGTGCCTACCTAATACAGGACCAGCACAAATACCTCTCTCATTAAATAAAAATTAGCACTGGATTCGACGATGAATATATATGACTCCGAATTGGGATCCACGTTTTTGATTGTTTAATTATATCGATGTATAATATCATTTGTGCGTTTTTTTCAAACACAATAGTGTTTACGTAAAAATGTTCTCGCTTCATATGGCTGGCACAGTCTGGGCTTGAAAAAATGGAAAACTGTCAGAGCGTTTACCCTAGCTCCTAAGGTTAGCCACCGTATTTGTGCCCAGGTTTATATTATATATACCCTGTCTACAATCTGCAGTAAATGAGGACCGACGAAGCTTTTGTTTATGTTCCAAATGTCAAAATATGGTAACCTGCATAATTTAAATGGTTAATGTAAGACGTACAATAGTAAAATAGAACTTTACACTGTACTAGCACGTTAGTAAATAAATAAATACAAGCGCATAATTAGGTACAAGTACGTAGTTGTTATAAATTATAATGTCATATATTGTATATTATATAGGCGGTATGCTATATCAGAAACATTCACGCTACACTGCCTGCACTGCTGCAGGTATGAATAGAAATCACTAAATGGTTATTGTCATGTAGTTATTTCAGATTAATCTGCCGCGCATTTGACCAGGAGCTCGACGCGCATCGAAAACACATCACTATTGCTGACTTTCTGTGTTAATTGTATTGTACCTATGTTTTGCAAGTGTTTTCCCGTTTCCGGAATTGTTTTTCTATCGATTAGTAATAACAAATTTAAAGCAGCTAATTTATGATACTCATCTACGGTGGGTGGAGGCTGGTAGGTCCCAGTTTAAACTTATTCCAAATAGCATATAATAATATAAAATATTATTTATACCTACTGTTATTGGGTCCCCCGATGTTTCTTATTAGTTATTACGGTCACAAACTGTATTATACTATCAAAAAAATTAAATTAGTTAAAAAAAAAACAAAGTAATTGGTGGGTAATTTAAATTGACAAATAATTTTTGTTTCCTACATATATTTTGTTAATTTGTTTCAACTTTCAAGTACTTACTTCTTTCGTAACAAAGACGTTGGAGACATTATTTAAATTTAAAAATTTTCATTTTAACAAAATTATTACCTATTGGTACATATAAAAATGTCCAAATGTAAAAAAATATATTATATTGATATGTAGGTATTATTGTGCAAATTATATTATTTATACTTCCCGTTCTAGTTTTTTTAATATCAAATTGTTATAATGTATAAATAATAATTACCTACTTTCTTAAATTAATTATTTTTAGATTCTGAGCGGAGCGAAAGAATGTATTATTGGTTTTAAAATGATCTGTTATTTTTTTTTTCTGTTTGTCAGCAACATTTCGGATAGCAAGCATGCTTCGATTTTTGAGATCAGAATCTTTTCTGATAGAAAAGTGAATCTAGTACTTTAGGGAGGTAAAAACTGAAAATTCCAAGTAGTTTTAGAAAACATCAAGAAAATCGACCGATAAATTACTAAAAACCGCAAAAAATGGGATTTTAATTCTAACGATTTGTTTATCACCATAGCAACGAATAAAAAATAATAATTTTTTAAGGATTAAGTTAACCGCTCATGGTTTATCATTGTATTAAAATATAACACATCCACAGTGCTCGAATTGGAAATATAAAAGAAGGGGCGCTAAAGGACTTATAAAAAATTAGCGTACCACTCAAAGATTTAAACTGATCTAACCCGTGGGGGGCTTCGCCCCCCACACACCCAAAGTAGTATTAACAACACAAATCAAACAATCATTATAACTATACAGAATGTATACTACAACAATAAATAAATATTATTAAATTAGGTACCAACAAATCTTTTTGTTTTATTTTGAAAATACAAAATTTAATTGTTTACATTTTTAATATATTCCATAGTTCTACATGTGAATGATTATTATCTTCATTATTTTGTCGCTTAGGACAGTTAACTTCATCGGTGGAGTACTTTTACGTTTTACCTTTTTAGGGATACGATTGCGAGCAGTTCTGGAATAACAAAGAACATGATTTTGATTTTTGACTATTCAAAAACAATTTTTATATTTAAATACAGATACAAATTCATCAATACGAGAAGGTTTTTAATACATTTACTTTAATACCTACTTATTATTATAAAAAAAAATATCGTTAAATATACTCAGTCTACAATCGTATTGCACCCAACTTCATCAGCCAGTGGCGTAGCCAGGGGGGTGGCTAAGAGGGCTATAGCCCCCCCTCCCCATTGACCGGTGTTGACCTTAGAATTTTGTCTAATATACGAAGGGGTACGCTAAAAAAAAATTAAAATTATAAGGTCCCCCCCAAATTCGAGCACTACACATCCATTACAAGTTTCAACTACCGTACAGCAGAGCGGTACCCACTTGTTCACCTTTTTTATTATTATTATTAAATTAAAGGTAAATTATACACATTATTAATACAACCATATAAATATAAATAGGTAGGTATAGATGTACAGTACAATAATATCCCTTATACCTTCTTTAAGCCCTGCATTTAATTAGTACCTACCAATGCTGTTACATTTTTTTCTGGGGAAATTCTGAGGTGTAAACGTTAGTTTTTATTTTATATTCTGAGAGGAGCAATTGATTTTACAATGATGTGTGTTTTTTATTTTTTATTTTTGTGTCTACCACCGTTTGTTGCAGTAAGACTGCTTCGATTTTCATCAACTGTATATCTTGTTCGATGGGAAAGTGAATCTTGTTGGTGCATTCGGGAGGTCAAAATTTAAAATTCCCAGTAGTTTTCAAAAGCACCGTGAAAAACAAAAGAATAATTAAGGAAAAACGGTAATTTTTCCGCAAAATTTATTTTAGTAGATATCGATTTTAGTTTTTGGTGTAATTCTATAACAAATGATAATACACAACATTTTGACTGAATATTTATATTAGAATTTTCTATACGCGATAAAATTTTCAAAATATTTTGACTTATTTTGAGCTGTTTACGGACATTATATTCAGTTTCCATTTGTTTTAGTTTTTTATTCTATAAATATTAAATATCAATCAAATGTTATTTTTTGGGTAAAAAGCTTGAAAACTTAATAGAAGGAAGATAGATGAAAACTCAAATCCATAGACAGATTTTTATTTTTAAGCATTTCAAGTTCAAATATTGACACAATAAGTACATTTCACGAAAATCTGCAAATTATATTGAGTTAGAAATTCATAAAAATGTTTCTATTTAAATCTAAGATTTGAAAATGTAATACCAAATTCCTCATAATTTTTTCTACCTCTATCAAAAAAAAAATTTCTACAAGCAAATCAAATTAAATTTTTATGAGCGTTTGAAGTACAAATTTTTACAGCATAGGATATTCACTCGGTTTCTCATGTAACGATTTTGTTATTTTGTTGTAATTCAAAAAACGAATAACTGTAGATATATGAAAATTTCACTGAATTTTTATATTTTCATTTTCTATACACCATACAGTTTTGAATATATTTTGACTCTTTTTGAGCTGTTTACGGAGATTATCAGTTTACAATTTTTTTTTCTATAATTGACAATAAAATGTTATTTGTTATAGGTAAAAATACAAGGCTCCTGATATATTGTTAGAATAGTAGTTGAAAAATATTGAAAATACATGGGCACATTTTTTTTTTATAAGCATTTAAAGTTCAAATTTTGACAAAATGTATCAAATTTAAAATTTAATAATTATTTTGTAGTTAAAAATGAATAAAATGTTCAACTTTTATATCTAAGGATTGAAAATTTAAAACAAGGTTCCACATAAATAGATTATAATATATAAGTTACTTTATTCACAATAATATCATTAAATATACATTTATACGAACATTTCAGTGGGGCCCATTATCTTCTTGAAGAATAAATAAAAAAAAAAAAAAAAAAAAAAATGATAATATCATAATATGCTGATTGACCGTCTTCGCTGAGAATTGTTTTTCTTATACAATGATTATTAAACCATTGAATTCAAATGTAACAACATCCATATTGCAGTAACCCACTTGTAACCTACTGTACAGTAGAGCGACACCCACTTGTCCATTTTTTTGATATTGTTTTCTAACTTTAATAATATATGCATATATTATTACATATATGTAATGTATAGTAGGTATTATATAGTAAGTTAAAAATATTGTGACATATATTTTTATGTTTCAGATTAAAAATGTCGGTCATAACCATATGTAAAGCTGTCAAAGAAATGAATACTTTTAAAAGTCAACCAACTACAAAACTTATCAATGCTTCTACTTTGGCAAAGTTAACTGAGAAAACATCAATAACTGTGCCGTCTACATCATCCGTCCAGTCAAATCAGATATTGCTGATTAACAATGTCGAAGGACAACCCGTGTCTGGTATATTGTTACCTTCTAATCATTTCATGTTAAAATTGAATCAAAACCAGCTCCAACCCGAATCAGATCCAGATGATAATACCGAGCGTGAATCTACTTCAAAGTATTTTTCAATGAATAAGAGTGAAAAGAAAATGTTTAGAGAAACATTTTTTTATACACTTCTTGATTTTATGCACGAAATTGTGAAAGATGGTCGTATTGTTAGTTCTTCTGATCATATATGGGAACGTGTTGCTTCAAAATTAGATAATATACTGAAACCAAAAAGTATTTACAATCGTTTTATTCTAAATAAACATTCTTGTAGAACTAGATTAATCGAAGCATATCTCAAAGACCCTAAAAGTCAAACTACAGATATATCAGTACTAAACCATATGATGAAAACAGATATGCACCATGAAGTTGTTGGAAAAAGACCGGGTCATGTTGATAATGAAACATTTTATGACGCTTTGTTCGTGTTCAAAGATAAGGTTCTAAAGGATGGAGAGGTAGCACCAAGTGTTGATTCTGTTTGGAATCAAATCTCAGCACACTTGAACCATGCTTTAAAGCCCAATAGCATTTACTTGAGATTCAAACGTAATACCCACAATTGTCATAAAAAATTGCTTACTCATTGTAAACTTGACCCCTCCAAAGCTAAAACGTATGACGTTCCTAGTCGAAAGTTTGTACCCTCCGTGGAAAAGCAACAAAATAAAGTAAAAAAGAAAAGTTTGAAGTTTGAAGATTCTTCCAAATTTTTCAAAGCATTATACACCCATAGGAAAAAAATCATACAAAATGGATCAATAGCAAGATACAATAATTCGGTTTGGAATGAAGTGGCAAAGATGTTAGATTACGCTCTACAACCATCTGATGTCCATTCTAAATTTATTCGTAATCATGACTTATGCCAGACTAAACTTATTGAGGAATGTAAGGAAGATGAGAATTTCACACCATTAGTCGTTCCAAAATTGAATAAACCTAATAGTGTATCTGATGAAACATTTTTCAATGTATTATGTAAATACCGTGATGATATTTTACAAAATGGAAGTGAAATAGCTAAATTTTCTAATCCCGTTTGGACTCAAATTTCAAGAGACCTTAATGATACCTTAAAGCCAGCAACTGTATACTTCAGGGTAACAAGAAATTCTCAACTATGTTTAAATAGACTTCTTAAACCTACTGGATTATTGACAGACTACGCTTACAAAGATACAGTTAATAAAGACCAGTTTTTCGAAACAATATGCTTGTATAAATATTCAATAATGAATGGTGATCAAGTTGTAGATTTAAGTGATCCCGTTTGGAATGAGATTTCTCTTCGATTAAACTCTGCATTATCTCCTGAAGTTATCTTTGACACAATTTCTAAAGATAAAGATTTGTGTAAGACAAAAATGATTCAAGCTCTTAAAACAGAACGCAGTGTGTTTTCCGGAGAAAATCCTGAAGTTTCTGAAAATATGACTGAATTAACACCAATAGTCGAATGTAATATTTCCAATGAATCTACTGATGATTTTGTTGAAGTTATTAGTGAATTTAAAGATTCTATATTACTAGCCAATGGACAAATAGCTTTAAAAGATGATCCTGTATGGAAACAAATATCTAGTCGTTTGAAAGATCTGAAGGCAGATGAAGTTTATTCATATATCATTAATGATTATAAAAATTGCCGTACTCGACTTTTTAATATTAATTCTGTTCCTAAAAACAACTTATTTGAAGCAATATTTGCACACCGACAGTCGGTTATAAACAATAATGTTATTGCAAATATTAATAATGGAGTCTGGACGAAAATCAGTCAAAAACTAAACTATGCATTGAAACCCAGAGAAATTTATATGAAATTCATTAAAGATGTAGATGGCTGCCGTACAAAGCTGTTGAAATCTTCAAAAAAAGAATTTTGTCGTTCTCAAGGTATTGATAAAGACAAGTTTTTAGATGTGATAATTAACCATAAAGACTCCATACTTAAAAACGGAACACATGCTAAACCTAGTGATCCAATTTGGAGAGAAATTGCATCTAAACTTAACTTTTTAGTAAAACCATTAACTCTTTATAATAACTTTATGTTAAATAGACATAACTGCCAGCAGAAACTTCTAGAAGCTTGCGAAACAGATAAAAATGAAGTAATTGCTTCACCAATCTCATCAAAAATTACTTCTCAGATGGACCACGATTACACAAAAGGTGACGCAGACACTAGTTTTGAAGATTTGATATCCATGAGACAAAAAGTTGGCTATGTACAAGAAAATGACTTCATTGGAGCTTGTTTAGTGTTCAAAGATAAATTAGTGAAAAATAACTGTATAGTGTCTTCTACTGATAATGTTTGGAATGATATATCAAAACACCTTAATTATGCAATCAAAGCTAAAACAGCTTATTTGAGATTTAAACGAAACACTCATAATTGTCAAGGGAAATTGTTTGGAAATTTTCAATTAAATGATGTTTCTTACGAAGGAGATGACGATGCATATTCTGCTGAAGAACAAAGCATCGAAGATGAGATGTTCTTTGATGCAATATCAATTTTTAAACATTCCATTATCAATAATGGTATTTTTGCTATGGAATCTAGTCCAGTTTGGTCGGACGTTTCAAATTTAATGAACAATTTACTCTCTCCTGATGAAGCATTTTGGAAGTTTCGTCAAAACAGTGACTCGTGTAGAACAAAATTAATAAAAAAGTGTTTGGCGGATTGGACCAATGAACCTTCCTCAGTAATTAAAAATCGAATCCAAGTTATTAAATCAAAAGAAGCATTGTGGAAAGAAACGTTAAAAACTGAACAAACTATGAGGATGGATAAAAAAAATTACACAAAAACTTCAAACTTAAACGACGATGTATTCTATGATGCTATTTATAAATATAAAAGTGATATATTCCATAATGACTTGATTGCAAGCTGTACAAGTCCTGTATGGGCAGCTATAGCCAAAGAGTTAGACAATGAAATGGAACCATCTACTGTATACTTAAGGTTTAGGAATAACATGACTAAATGCAACCTGAAATTTGCAGAAGCCGCTCAAAGACACAATACCTATCAATTAAAACAAAAACATAGTCAAATTAAAAAACCGAAACAATTACTTATTGAAGAGAATTCTAATGAATCATGTGATCAACATATGGTTATAGACTATGATGACGAAGAAATTATAGAAATTGAATCTGATATTAAGAATTACAGGCCTGTTTATAAAACTATACCATTGCAAACAGAGTTGCAAACAATTAAACATGTAAATAAATGGAAATGATAATTTCAACAAATTCAATCTATATTAGCTACAGTTAACCTAGAAATGATGAATGAAACTTATATTTAATCATAATTTGAAATGTAATTTATTAAGGATCTCTGATATAAATATGTTTTTTCTCATTATTCTTTAAAATTACTTAATAATGACTGATTAATGTTACCTGTAATTTTAATTTGTTTTATTTGTTTACCTTGTTTTTATTTTTGTATTTTTCAATCAAACTATGAGGTTGTGCAATATGTGTGTTCAATCATATGTTTTTAAAGGTAATTTACTACCTAATTTGATTTGTAATAATTTGTATTACTAGACCGGTTTATTATACTTTTTAGTTCATTATGTTTTTATAATTTAAAATGTTTATTTAAATATAATAGCTACCTACATATTATACTTCTTTTAAAATAATTAAAGGTGTGTATAGTATTCAATAGATATAGGGCACATTAAATTATCGACCTACATTTTGTCACATTATTTTATACATATTTTTGTAATTATATATATTAAATATTTTCAATATAATAACTATTAGTTAGAATCTCTTTAAATAAAATAAATTAATGTTCTCGTTCCAAGCCATTTTTATTTTTAACTCATTTTGATTCTATCTAATGATTTAAATTCATGTTATTTGTAGAGTTAAATAAATAATACATTTCATAATATAATTTGTTTATAATTTTAGATATTTGATGTATATTGTAGGTATTAATGTACTACCTTTACTAATTATAACAATTTAGTACCTAATATTATTACTAATTAGTAATTATACTTTACTTTAAAATATTTAAAAGTAAATTTAGTTGGTAGTTTAATAAATAACTAGTGATTACTATACTGTATTAGACATTATAGACTTTCACTGAAGAACCAAGTCTATTCCAATATTGTGATTTGGTAAAGACTGACCCCACCAATCTCCATTTTTTATCAGCTTGTACAATTATTTTTTTTACATAATTTATACCTGGTTAAAATAATACAAAATCATATAACTATTTGTTAAATGTTAAAAATAGTCTGTGTCTATATATTACTTAAATGCCTATGACAGTATGACACTGTACAAATTAGATTTCTATTAAGCATTTAAACATTTCAACTATAAAATGTTTAGATAGTATTATGTGTTAAATGTTAATGGGTATTTATAATGAAAACTAACCTAAACAAATTGTACCATTATTCTAATATTCAATTAACGTGTAAATGTGTGATGAAATGTAATTTTATTCAGTAAAATAATGCAATATAACTATTAACTATAATTCATAGTTGCAATTGTCAAAAACTAGCAGTAAATGTTGTTCATATAGCTACCTACCTAATATTTTAGATAAGTAGGTTCCTACCTAGGTATTATTTATACAAAGCTCAGACTTCAGATCTGTATAAATATAGGTTATGAATTGAGGCATTGACGTGGAAAAGGTACTAAGTCATAAAAACCAAATTTCACAGGAGAAGGAAAAAACTGTTTTTATGACCACGATGACTTACGACCAGTGCCATCTTGTATTCAACGTAATTACTAATATTTAAAGAAATTTGTGTGAGTTCTTTTCCGTGGCCATTGGCATGTGTATTTACTACTTTTTCAACTAAAAAACAAAAAAAAAATTGATTTTTTTTTACTTAGTATCTTTTCCATGTCAAATTGTCAACGTCTCAATTGTTGACATGTCAAGATAAAATGACTTTGATGTTTAAATTCTCTTTTTAGTATTAACCATGCTCAGCAAAAATATCTATAAATAAGTACCTAGTTAAATGTTAATATATTTTTCATCTTAATTTAAAATCTAATAGGTAAGCAATAAATTAATGTATAGGTAATAGAATATATTAGTAATATGTACCTATCAAATTGAAGAATATTATTACTCTATGAATATCAATACCTACTACTTATTATAGTATAATACTTATTAATTGCCAAAAAGCAAAGATGAAGTGAAAAGAACCAATATGTTAAGTACATGCAAACTAAATAGATTTAGTTGTGATAAGTATTTAAAATTATTTAAGCCGTTCATAAGATTTTTGAATAATATTATTTTATTAAATCTATAAACTATTTTACAATTTAACAGGAGAATAACTATTTGTGTTTGGTTGGTTGGTGAATAGCGGTATAATTTAGTCAACTAGTCATCAAGATAATACTACAAAATTTAAAATACAACTACAATATAAAGACATGCTGTATTCATTTGTTTTCATCAGATTTAAAGAATAAAAAAAATGTAATAATTATATAAAAATACTATGTTTTAATCGAAGTAATTTTCAATGTTCATATGGTTTAAATAAAATTACCAATCAACATAAAAATTATATTTTTTATTAAAATATAAACAGTTTTTGCAATATAAAAAATTGTTATGCTTTTAAGTTAAAAGGGAAATCATAATAAACATGTTGAAGAATCAAAATCTGTTTTTATAGTTAAAATCAATTTATCCAAATCTTACAGATTTGTCAAGCGATAACATCTTTTACATAGTTTTAATTTTTTAAGTACATACCTTTTTTTTTTTTTTATTTTTACAAGAAATATACAATCTATCAGTGCCGTAGACAGGAATTTTATATGGGGGGGGGGTTTATTATAATAATAACATGTTATACCTAGTAAATGAAAAAAAAAATAACACATTATTTATATTTTTATATCTTTATTTTAGTGTCTTATAAGTTATAATATCAGATCTATTTTTCTTTTAGATTCTGAGTGAAACGATGAATGTATTGATTTTACAATGATGTGTGTTTTTTTTTTTATTTTTTTGTTTTTTTTTGTGTCTGTCATCACGTTTTAGGGCAGTAAAAGTGCTTGGATTTTCTTCAACAGTAGCTTTTCTGATAGGAAAGTGAATCTAGTTGGTACTTTGGGGGTCAAAAGTAAAAATAGTAGTTTTCACAAGCGCCGGGAAAAACAACATAAAAATTAAGGGAAAACGGGAATTTTTACGCAAAATCGGATTTCCAAAAAATCGATTTTGGTTTTTAGTGTAACTCTAAAACAAATAAACGTATATACATGAAATTTTCACTGGTTGTTTATATTTACATTTTCTATACACGATAACATTTTCAAAATATTTTGATTTATTTTGAACTGTTTAGGCACATTTTTATTTTCCATTTTTTTTTAGTTTTTTTTCTAAAAATATCAATAAAATTTTATTTGTTGGTTGCGAAAGCTTGAAAATTTAAGAAAAGGCTCCTAGTATATTGTTTCAAAGGCAGATGAAAAATATTAAAAATCCTTAGTCACAATTTTTTTTTATAAGCATTTAAAGTTCAAAAATTGACAAAATATGGAAAAATCACGAAAATTAGCAAATTATTTTGAGTTAAGAATTCGTAAAAATTTTTCTTTTTAAATCTAAAATTTGAAAATGTAATACAAGATTCCTAATAAGATTATCTACATTTATCAAAAAAAAATGTCTATAAGAAAGTCAAATTAAATTTTTATGAGCGTTTGAAATTCAAATTTTTACAACATTGGATATTCACTCGATTTCTCATGTAGCGATTTCCTTATTTTGTTGTAATACAAAAACGAATAACTGTAGATACATGAAAATTTCACTGAATGTTTATATTAGCATTTCCTATACACCATACAATTTTGAAAATATTTTGACTCTTTTTCAGCTGTTTGACTGATATTTCAAAGTCTAACATCTCAGCCAATCTCTATTTAAAAATATAATTATAGTTAAAAAAATGAACATTAAAATTGAATTTAAGGCATTCATTACTTGAGCTTCTTTGAACATTTTTTTAAATTAATGATCTACATTTTCCCTTAAATTGTCAAGAACCTTGATACTGATATTGGCCAAACTGATCATTTGTCTCAAATCTATGTTTTTTTTTTAAGCACGGTTTTAACTTTTAAAGTTTTAACTATAATACTGATAATACCTAATTAATATGTTATCTTAAATTTCAGTATTATCAACATGAACATATAATAAGATTATAAATTATCACAGTAACAAAACGGTTATGGTAATGGTGATTTGTCATTGCGACCATTAGACGATACACAAAATACCTTACTTATAACCGATAACAACACAAACATCTAAAATATTATTAATAACTATTATTGATAAAATTTTTTTTTAAATATATAAGATATATTAGTAGTTTTAAATATTTTAAATAAATTTATAAACTTTCCAAGGGGGGGTTTGAACCCCCTAAACCCCCCCCCGTGTCTACGGCCCTGCAATCTATACTTAACTAAGCACAATAAGTATATGTGATATTGGGCTACAAAACATTAAGGTGTTACGTGAATAAGAAGCCACCCATCGGTAGTACTTAGCTTGTTTATTACCTATGTGATTATTTACAACTTGTTAGGATTAAGTTAGAAGATCCCTACACCATTTTCTTTTTAGCCTGCGGCGGAGATTTCCAGGAAGTGACGGAATATGTAAGCCTTTTATTAGAGGATTTACATGATTTTCTAATTTATTAGAATCGATTATAGAAAATAGCAGCTTGCCTAGCCTGAAAATAGTGACCACTGAATATTTTAAATAAATTAATGTCCAGTATCCATTGACATGTGCCTGCAGTGTCTCAGTGTCTGCACCAAATACCGATTGGAAGTAAACTATTCATACAGAAGACAACACTTACAAATTAGAATCAGAGACACTTTAATATAAATTTGCATTTAGTTTTGTCCTTAAAATACAAAAATGTTTTAAAGTGGGATTATTATTTTTAGGGTAGGTACATAGTGTAATCGCTAATCGTCGAGATTCTAGGACTAAAAATACTAACTAATGATAATTGATTTATTATGTTTATTAAATATTTTTACCCAAATTGTTTCATGTGTTTAAGTACCTAAATTGAGCAATTCCCAATTTGTTTTGAGTAGGTATAATATCCCATGAGTATACTATTGGCTATTACTATGTAAAATATTACAATATAAAAACTCATAATGACTC